TATGTGCAGCTACGATAAGTAATAATAAGGGTACTTTTATCTTGAGTTCTGTGCCAAAGTGCGTTAGCATTTTTCGCTCAGGGGTCATTTAGATGCTTCTTATGAGACTTGTGTTTTTGTTTTGGTATAAAATGGTTTGTATCGTCAGTTAGCTGAGATTATTTCCGTTAATCTGGTATAACACATTAATAGGTTCTTAAATATTACGATCCCCTGAGACACTGTCGTGAAAAAAAAAAGTAAAGTACCCGCCGGGACTTTGGGGTTTAACAGGTTAAAAAAAACGCGATATATACCGCAGGGAGGGGAAAAACCACGATGTCAGTTTTTTTCAATACCGTGCAGCCCTAGTTTACATTTTAATAATCAAATAAGTATTAGGACATAACCAATAACCTACCATAGCCAATAACAAATAAATGTAACTTATTTTATTTTTGTTGTTCATTTATATCTTATTTTACCTTAACATTTATTTATTTATGCATATTTTTGTATCTCCAACTTTAAATGATATTTTTGGTTTACTGTCCTATAGTATACATTGGAATGATTTCAAACCTGTTTTTAATTTGTAAACACATATTTGTTTGAGACCCACTGAGATAACTTAGACTAAAATGAACTATCTAAACACTCAGAGTCCCTAACCTCACCTGAGCTGTTTATCTCTCTCAGTCTGACAGCAGAGGACTCTCCTCCACCTTGTTGTTGAAACAGCTCCTTATGTCTTTTAGAGCGGCTAGCTAACCAGATGCTAACAACAAAAAGTAACCGGTGCTCTCTCTCTCTCTCTCTCTGTCTCTGTCTCTGTCTCTGTCTCTGTCTCTGTCTCTGTCTCTGTCTCTTCTCTCTCTCTCTCTTCTCTCTCTCTAATAAAAAAAAAAATCGCCAGGCCATCGGGAAACCTCCCGGTCCTCCCGATGGCCTGCCTATTACATACAGTGGCAATGTCTCAAGATTTAGCAAAATACACCTTTTTGAACATACATTATAACAAATACAAATACTACAAATCCACATAACAAACAATCAAAAATCAAAAAGGGTCGGCAATTATTATTTATAAAAAAACAAAAACGTATCATTATTTATAAATGTAAACATTTTATTTATTTATTTTTGGTACCTGGCTGGTGCTCCCTAGCAGCGGCGCGCATATTTCAGCAGCGCCGCCGCTATTTGTATATAGGGGAAACACTGCAGTCTGAATGTAATACCTTTAGCTGCCTCTGCACACAGCATGGCTGGATGCATACTTGCCAATCTTGAGACCTCAGAAATTGAGAGCATTTCAAAACCACCGCGGGGGGGCGGGTGTTAGTGGCTTGCCGGAGCTGTATTAGATTAACATCTACACATGCTTATTGTAGTTGTAAGAAGTGCACTGTCTTGAAGCCTGTAGCACCATCCTTGATGGAGCATATGTGTTCGCTGGGCCTGTACTTTTCAGGAAAGGAGTGAGCAGAGGGTATAGTTGTCGATTCTTGTTCTGTTTTCTGTGACTATCGGCTCACCCTCTCAGACTTTCAGTTGCACGCGCTACTAAAGAGACGCGCTACCACGGAAACCAAACAATGGTGTAGCTGTATTAAAGTCCGAGTGGAAACAGTCCTGAGTAAATCTGATTTTGTCAGAAATCGGGAGAAATGCGGGAGAAATATGACCCCGGGAGAGGGCAATGAAATTGGGAGTCTCCCGCGAAAATCGGGAGGGTTGGCAAGTATGGCTGGATGTGTTAACTGTTGTGATGTTAGATGGGCAGTGACAGATGTCATCTTTCCAGTCATTATAAAAATGAAAGGTCTTCATCTTTCTATTTAGCCATCTATTAATCTAGCTATCTGCTATCTTTAGTCAGGGCAGTAATATTAAATTGCGATGTGGATGCTAGCATGGATCAGGTTGCCGGGCTGATCCTCACTGCAAAACATTCAGACAGATGATACATATTGAAAGTCCCCAGTCTCATATTAAAGTAAAGCAACCCGTTTTTACAGTGTAACTGTATTAACAGAAATTGTTGTAACCTTGAGCATATCACCTTGTGAAGAAGTTGCATCTGTTTTTCCTATGTAAATGTTTTGCAACCAGTTTCAAAGGAAGCAGAGAGTCAGTTTGACAATTAATTCAGTTCACATTTGGCTATTAAAAAAAATGTTGCATAGGAAAAAGTTGTTGCAATTTTTTTTTAGAAAACTTGTGGTGTTTTATAGTTTGTCGACACAAAGAAAAAAGGTATAGGGTGAAACAGAACCTCTCTTGTGACCATAGCTTGAGTCGGCACCTTTGTTACATGTAAACTGACCACAGAACCCACGTTCTACAAAAATGTGACAACCTATCGTGCTTTAATGTGGCATACAGTGGGAATAGGAGCGGTCCCCTAATAGTCGGTGAGATTTGATGTGTGTGAACAACAAGGGGTAGGCAGCAGGGATTGTGCACTTTCGGATGTTACGCTCTATCAGCAAGATGAGTGTAAAGTCTGCCCGCGTCTGCTGATGTGGGCAAAGAGTTTGCTGCATAGTCAACATCTGACTGAGTCTGAGGATCCTTTTTTTTTTTTTTTTACTGAGAAATAATTACTTGCCCACTTGGCATTGAATCAATCCTCTTTCATGTGTGATGTGTTTATTTAGCTTAGCAGTGAGAATTTTTTTTGGAATGGGGATTTGGTAACACATTGGGATATGTGAAGGGTTTTGAAAAGGGATTGGACAGAATCAAGGGCGTCAGGGATTGGCACATGACCTCATAAAGCAAGACTATAGTGGAGGACTGTGTTTATTTCTGTTTGCTCTGAAACGGAGCACACTAATCAATTCATAGGAATAGATTATTGAATTTCTTTTAACATTTGGAAAACTAGTTGAGGATAAATGTACCTGAAGTTTGCATATTTACTCATTTGCATATCAAAGATAAATCTTGCGAGTTTAATAAAGAGGCTGTTGTTTTCAAGGTTATTTTCATTTTGAGCCGTGCTTTTCGTTCACCGTCAATAGAAAGAGGTTGTATGAAGGTTACTTCCTTTTTTCTAAAAACTCATAGCTGATATGAGAACATTTTTTAGAGGCAAAAGACAGACGATGACAATAACAGACAAAGATATGCATGCCAAACACAAATGTTTACACACACACACACACACACACACACACACACACACACACACACACACACACACACACTCTCAAATCACGAATCTGTACTAATCGGCCATGGCATTTAACTTGCTTGGTGAATCAGATTATATACTCTATATTTTCAAAATACATTCCTAGTGTTTAATATCACAGCTTGAATGATTAAAGCCATTATCTCCTTGCATTTTTGGATATACCTAAAATTGTCCTGGCTGCTGCTGATGCCTTCTAAATTCTGATCAGGCTTTAAAATCAAGTGTTCCAGTGAGATATATTTTTGAATGATTTAAAATGTATTTGCCCTTAGGGCCTAATACTTTACATTTTGATTAATATCTGACAAGTTTAATGTTAGTATCTTAAACCAACTGGGCCTTATATCCGTGTTCCTGTAGCTAATCTTTACCAATATAATAATTACACCTCTGTTCATGAACTGGAGCATTAATTTTTTGACAATTAATTTAAAGTGATTACAATTTCGAAGGTTCCTCCTTTCATCAAGCGCTGCACAAGCTTCTGCGCACGCTCAAATTCACTAACAGATAGTGCAGCTGCTCCATGGCCATGGGGCAGGCAGGCTGCTACATCAACTGCTCCATGGGCAGCAAGAGCAAGATGGCATGTAAGCAAGCGAGCATTTTTTATTATTTTTTCAAACATCCTTTGCTAATGCGTAAAATCCATTGCAGTCAAAAGTCGACCAACATTTGTTATCTTTTTTTAATGGTTTGTGGATAAAACAAGATCACGGCTGGTCAGGGAATTAAACTTAATGCTGATGGGGGGGAAAATCTACTAATTAGTACTTGATCACACTATTTCTTTAGAGGGTTGTATTTTCTTGTGTGTTGGGGGTGTGGGCGATGTGAGGAGGTGGGCATGTGTGCGCGTGAGTGTGTTTTGGGACCTTGTCAGCAGACTGAGCCACAAGGGCCCCTGTGGTAATGTGTGTATTAAATGATTAGTGTGTTAGTTAGCATAACGGCCCTTCAGCAGCGTTTAATCACTCTCAGGGGTGGGCGGCCTCACAGGAGGTGGATGGGAGGGGGCAGACGGAAAGGGGGAGGCGGAGTAAAGGGAGATTTAAACGGGGGAGAAGGTTCTACTGGTTGAATGGGTGAGTGGATGATCTGTAGAGAGTACGAAAAAACGAGGGGAAAAAAAGGAGTGAGCGTGACAGGAGGCAAGAATCCAACAGAAACATAATCCAGCAACACTCAGCAGAGAGAGATACAATCTTTACAAGGCCTGAACGTCTTGTTAATGTCAGCACTTGGCCCATCATCTGGAAGTCCCATAAATAGCTATTAATAACAATGCCAAATGGTTATGGATAAAGGCGGGCCCTGCTTCACTCTTGACAACACTGATGTTGTTGATAATTGTGCAGTTGTAATGGGGAGGGGTCGGGTTGTCTGGTGCAGACAGTTAATAATTGTTGTGAACTGTGTGTGGAGTATAGTCAACTCTTGCAAGCGCTGTCATGCCCGTCACAGTGGTAAAGAGATGACTGACAGGCTGAATGGCTCCAGATACGGCCTGCGCTGGTAGCAGATCAAACTATCGGTGTAGACGGATTTTTCTTGGCGGGGCATCGAAGTTGTGGTACTGCTCTCGGCCTCTGCTGCTGCCATGAACTTGCCAAGTTCAGCTGAGGCAGGATGGGTAGTCTGCAGCACGCCAGATGGTTCAAGTAGTCTGCTGTCTAGTCAGAAAACGGCTCCTGACTTTTTATTCTCAATGATAACAACAACGCTGTTTATTACGACTAAAGCAGTAATGGTAAATGTGATAACATTTGCCGCTCTCTTCTTAGCAAACTAAAAATGTTGTGTGTTTGTTTTGCAGAAAGAACTAGACGCCACCGCCACACAGCTTGCCAACAGACAGGACGAGAGTGAACAGTCCAGGAAGAAACTAATCGACCTGAGCCGCGAGTTCAAGAAGAACACACCAGAGGTGAGAAATCAGATATTCACAGACACGCACCAACACACAGTCATGCATATATCCCACAATTATTTTGACAATCATAGTGTGCCTCGTTGTTTCTCTCTGTCTCTTCTCCTCTTCAGAAGTGTAGACGTTATTATTTACTGAGAAAGCAGGGGAGGAGGAGATGGCGCAGAGATGCGGGCTTGGCTCCCAAAAATAGTCTCTCCATTAGTTTCCCTGAAATCCTAAAGAGACAAAACAGAAAACCCCTCAGGAGTTTGTATTATCTGACCTAGTTTTTTTAGTGTGTGTGTGTGTGTGTGTGTGTGTGTGTGTGTGTGTGTGTGTGTGTGTGTGTGTGTGTGTGTGTGTGTGTGTGTGTGTGTGTGTGTGTGTGTGTGTGTGTGTGTGGTGTGTGTGTGTGTGTGTGTGTGTGTGTGTGTGTGTGTGTGTGTGTGTGTGTGTGTGTGTGTGTGTGTGTGTGTGTGTGTGTGTGTGTGTGTGTGTGTGTGTGTGTGTGTGTGTGTGTGTGTGTGTGTGTGTGTGTGTGTGTGTGTGTGTGTGTGTGTGTGTGTGTGTGTGTGTGTGTGTGTGTTGTGTGTGTGTGTGTGTGTGTGTGTGTGTGTGTGTGTGTGTGTGTGTGTGTGTGTGTGTGTGTGTGTGTGTGTGTGTGTGTGTGTGTGTGTGTGGGAGGGAGAGAAAGAGGGAGAGAAAGAAAGAGTGTGACAACACTACTAAGTGGGATCAGGAGGGAATTCTGTCCTGTTCCTGTGTTCCCATCACTCCTCCTGGGAATATTTGTTTCATCTCCGTTACCAAGGCAACGCATTTTTAACCACACAGCGAAAACAAAGTATTGTTGTGTTATTATTGGTAATGTCACCATGGTGAATTATTGATGGCAGTATGAATTATGTATGAACGGAGTAGACTGTGGATAGAAAATCGTCAACTCTCGGTGGAGTTGACAGTAGGCCTATTATAGTTACCACAGTGTGACGGATTGTGACGATTGACTTCAGCTTGTAGCCCACCCGGCGTAGAAGAATATACACTAGAGGAAACTGTACCTGCGTACAGAAGATGTTCATTTCGCTTTGCCCTACACATTCATCTCTAATCTCCTTTTCAAGTTTAACCACATGCCTTGCAACACACACACACACACACACACACACACACACACACACACACACACACACACACACACACACACACACACATAAAGAAAACATGCAGAGAAGCAGAGTCTCGTGCAAAAACACACAGAGGCAGATAGCCTAGATCAGAGAACAGGACACACACATTCATCAGTGTAACAAGGCTGTGATTTAGGAAGGCTCCTCTGGCGTCTGTGTGGCCCCTGGCATCTCCCTGGTATGTGGAGGAGGAATCTGAGCCAGGCCAGACGAGCGACAGGATTCATTACAGGGCTGTAACGGGCTCAATAGGAATCGGCATTAAAACGCCTGCAGTTTGGAGGTGTATTAGCACCAAAGATGCCTACTAAATAGGCTGGTTCATAACGTGTGATGGCCTGATTTAAAAATGCCTCAATCGTCCTATGTGCATTCACAGGGCTGTGTTTTCTGTCGTGTCGTGGCTGTGTGCGTGTGTGTGGTTGACCAGCCTATAGAGCGAGCTGTCAGCTCTCTGTGGTCTGCACCAGTCAGTGGAGATCACAGTCACATCAGATCAGACTGCATTAGGCTGAGCGGGAGTCCGTCTCTGATCCATTATTCAACAACCAGGAGACCAGCCCACGTTGACGGTGTCTAGTCTGTTGAGCTGTACTCGACGTGAACTGCACTCATGGTCTGCATAATAACACGCACACAGGCAGGCTTTTGTAGCATTTTAAAAGTAGTGCAAAGAAATGCAGTGTGAAAACAAAGTTTTCATAATTCATCAGTACTGACACACTGTTGGAATTTCTTTTTAGGCTACATCTTACTGTGCTTCCTAAGTTGCCTGAATTATTCATCCAGTTCTTAATTTCCTTTTACTTAGTCAAGACTCCTATAGCACACTGTTATGAAGGAAAGGGTGGGAATGGTTGTAGCATGTCCCAAAGATTGCTAGCCAGAGGCAGCGGTAGTAAAACAACTTGGTGTGTACTTGTGTGTGTGTGTGTGTGTGTGCACGTATGCACACACTCACGTTTGTGTTTAGCTGCAGGGCAGACAGACAGCGAATGGGAGTTCCATACTCCCCGGAGGATTCCTCGGGCTGGCCTGTCTGCTGTCTGCCGGCAGCTCACACACCAGCCATCCATCTCCCGCTGCCTGGCCCCCTCCACTCCCCTCACTACACACACACACACACACACACACACACACACACACACACACACACACACACACACACACACACACACACACACACACACACACACACACACACACACACACACACACACACACACACGGATTGACCATGGTGTCTGTGTGCATTGTTATGTTATACGGTCATAAATCTTTGGAAGTGGCGGGGGCAGGGGGGAGGAGCGCTGCAGAGTGGACCAACAGGGTTCAGAGCTACAGCAGTGGTTCGCCTCTGCATGTTATTTGAATGTGTTTGTTTTTGTGGGTTCTGTGTGTTTTCTTGTGTGTGTGTGTGTGTTTGTGCACAAGCTTGTCAAACTGCACTGTTTAGACTACTAAAATGCAAGATAAATGATAACGATAAAAACATTAAATGTCTAAAATCTAATAACATGAGGAATTACATTTAACTGTAAATCAATACAGAAACGTAAAACTAATATGGAATTGTAGCAGCGCAGTTATGAGTTATACAAAAATAATAATTATTGCAGGATTATACTGCATTACATTGCACAGGTTTCTTTTTTAGCCATAAATATTAACATACGTTTTAAAACGGAATGATCATAACACAGGTCACAAACATGGATTCTGCTCACCAAGGCTGACAAAACAATAGAAACTAAACTTAAAGAAAATACAATTTTAAATAAAATAAAATAAGAACTTAGTTTATGATCGTTAAACTAACCGAAAGGAAACTGAATCCTGAAATGGAAAATTAGAATATAATCTAAATCTAATGCAAATGACAAAACGGACAGCAGTATGGTGGGGTGTCGTTTTGTGCGTTTATTGTGTGTGTATGTGAGAGAGAAGGCAGAGCTAGAAGGGGGCCGGGGGTGGAGCTGGGGGCGGGGTGGAGGTCATTATCCCCAGCAGGGGAATATTGAATTGGCCCAGACAAACAGCCACAGCGACCCCTGATGAGGTAACAATGGGGCAGGGTCACCGAGGTCATGACCTGTCCTCAGCCCCAGACAAGCGGCCTGTCTGGACCAACCTGGGATTAGGCTGGTCCCAGACACTGGTCCCAGGTCAGTTTGGGATGCACGCTCTCTGTAGCATCGGTTAGGCTTTTAGGCGGAGGTTTCTAAAAGGCGCAGAGTCTCCCGAGCACACATCTGTCGGTGCCCTACTTCACATCTTCATTAGGCAGCTTTTTGAGTATGTGTGTATCCACAAACTGCAAATGAAATGGGCTTGTACAGAATGTCCTATTCTACCACGCTTTTTACCGTACGCTCCAGTTCAGTTTGTCCGGATGTAGGCTCAGCTAACAGCATGGTGATTTGCATGTTCCCCTGATACATACTCAACTGGCTATCTAATCTGAAACCGCTGACTCGTACTGAAAAGTCATGCAATGGGACTCGCGGGATAAAAAGCATTTGCTTTATAGTAAAAACTTTGTGCGCGGAGACAATTTGCATTAACTGTAGTCCTCATTCACTCCCTGTCTCACACGCACTAGGGGCGCCTCTGGGTGGCCCAGGTGGTGCTGCACCTGTTCTTATGAGAAACGCAGTCCGCCAGAGCACCTCGGGGTGCAAACCTGGCCTCCTCCCTACCCTCATGTTCATCATTCGCTCACGCATCACTCATTATTCATCAGCAGTTGCAAGAACGTCCGCTAGTTGATTTCAATGATTGACCCAATGCGGTCTTCTTCTATATCACTCAGGAGGTTTTCACAGCTTCTGGACATCTCTGCCACATACTCCTGTGTATTATCTGTTGTTAAAGGAGTGAAAATGATGGGTTCATTATCTCCTTTTGGAGAATCGCTAACCTCTTCCTCTCTTTGTCTTTTAGGATTTCCGGAAACAGGTTGCCCCTTTGCTCAAAAGCTTCCAAGGAGAGGTGAGTGTTGAAATTCCTAGCACAGCATTTATCTTTGCATTTTATAAAGCCTGTTTGACATTCGTTGAGTGGTCTTGTCGTGCCTTCACTCAGTGCCCTTCTCTCCTTATTCCGCCTTGGTCTTTCCTCTTTAATTGTCATCTCTTCCCTCTCTCCTCTCTCCTCTCTCCTCTCTTCTCTCTGCCATCTCCTGTTCTTTCTTTTACCACTATCTAATTTCCTCTCTTTCCTCTCCCTCTCTTCTTCGCTCTGCTCTGCTCTTGATTTTCTGTCCTATTCATGAAGTCCTGTAGCCCGAGGGTGTGTTTAAATTGCATCCTGCAACAAAAAAAAAAGCACCACAAAACCCCGGCTCCAGCCAGTCACAACTCACCAATGCTATTTCCTCAGACTTTGTTTGTCTGCATGATTCAGTGGGGTTATTTGTTGATCTGGTGTTCCAAAAGCCATTTTGGTTCATTGTGGCTCATATATTTACTTTCAATTTAATGTAGTGCCTTAGGTTTCTACGTACCTTGACCTATAAGAGGTGACTTTTGTGTGTGCTATATTATACTCCCACCGTTCGCCTCTATCTCCTCCTCCATCATTTTGGCCTATTTCCATCATGACTCCTCCTGTCTGGCAGCCACGCATTTCCAGTTCACTCCCATATGTGAAAGTCAGAGGGTAGGAGTGGAAGCGGCTGGTTTAGACTGGGGCGTTATTTGGGGTTGGAGTGGGTGGACATTAAACTCAACAGTATCTCTTTGCTATAAACACACACACACACACACAGAAACACACATGCTCGCAAACAAAATCATCTCAAAAGATAGTGACAGGGTTTCTTAGCTACTGGCCATAGAATATTACAGTTTAACACTGGGTTAGTTTCCATATTCTTGTGTTAGAGCAGCACCCACAGCCGGTGGTTATGTAAAAATGCTGTAATTTATAGTGGTCCCACCATGTTCTGCTGATGATCCACAGTCTATTTAGAGAATAGAAACGGCAGCAATATAATTGTGGCTTTGTCAGCTGTTTCCACCATCCTCGTGTTGACACACCTCGACGCCGTGCACACCAGTACACGCTGAGACACATAGTGGGTGGTCGCGGAACTGAGAAAGACATTATCTTATGATTATTGAGATAATACTGTACACCCGCGCCAGTCTCAGAGCAGCCCATCAATCAGTCGACTATTTTGCGCGCTTGCATGCCACAACATGAGCAGCTCTGAGAATGTGTAATTTTAGCCTGGCTTTGTTTGCTTACCCCTCCGTGCTTTGATCAAGGACAAGACAGGCACCAGAAAGCAGAGGGTCTTCCTGTTGAACTCATCCTTAGGCTTTTTACCCTGTGAGCCTGAATCTTTACTAAGTGAATGTGGAACTCGGACAGAACAATACAAAGTTTTATCCCAGGAACTTGGAGGTCTTGATACCGTGTTTAATCTTTGTCATTGAAAGGTGGATGCCCTCAGGTCACAATTATTACCAATAACAGTACTGTTTCCACAAGGTGTGTGTGTGTGTTGTGTGTGTGTGTGTGTGTGTGTGTGTGTGTGTGTGTGTGTGTGTGTGTGTGTGTGTGTGTGTGTGTGTGTGTGTGTGTGTGTGTGTGTGTGTGTGTGTGTGTGTGTGTGTGGTGTGTGTGTGTGTGTGTGTGTGTGTGTGTGTGTGTGTGTGTGTGTGTGTGTGTGTGTGTGTGTGTGTGTGTGTGTGTGTGTGTGTGTGTGTGTGTGTGTGTGTGTGTGTGTGTGTGTGTGTGTGTGTGTGTGTGTGTGTGTCACATGCTCAGTGTTCCTTGTTGGTCCATCGATCAGATAAGCTTTTCCATTATCCAAGGCTTCAGTCTCTGCTTCCCATAGCCTCCCCTTATCAGACTCCACTGGGGCCACACACAAACATACACACACACACACACTCCCAGGTCAGCCTGATGCCCTTCACACACTATGGGTTAGATAGGGGAGCGAGGCGGTGCTGAGTGATGGTGGCACAAGGTGCTGACGTGTGTTTGTGTGTGTGGATGTGTCAGGGATACCTTCTGCAATTGCAAGCACTTCTCATTGGTAACGCACTGATACTGGTGAGGTATCATTTGTGTCACTTCATTTGTTTTGCTTGGTCTGTGTGTACGTGTGTGTGTGTGTGTGTGTGGGATGGGGGCAGGGAAGCATGTAATAGCAGATGTCATTGGGATTGGTTGAAAGAGCTGCAGTTTGGAACAGCAGGGTTGTATTTGCAAATCCTGGGTGGTCTTCTAATGGCTCTGGTCCTGCAGTTAACCTGCCTCTAACTGTAGGGTGTGTCCTACATTAAATGTCTATTTCCTGCCTCCCATGTTGGGCTATATAAAGCGGCTGTACCACTGACCTTGGCCCAGTCATTGTACAGTCACGCAGCCAGCTTCCTTCATTGCCATCGACAGATCATTTTGTGAGCGTGTATTTCTTCTCTATCATGAGATTGTGTTGTGGTGCTCTGATCACATATATGTATATATTTACACGCACACACATTTCGGCACTGATGAACAGGTTTGGTGTTTGTGTGTGAGAGGTATTAGTGCTCAGCATCAGTAATCCCCCATTAGTGGCCTTGCATTTGAGGATCCTGATCGCTCAATGTCACACAGCCCATCAAGAGGGTAAAGTACATGATGCAGCATGATGTGAGAATGACATATATTAGTGTGTGTGGTGTGTGCCAGGGAGGCAGAGAGGGGGAGAGACAGAAGCACTGTATATGCCAGATAGACATGACTGTGTGACACGTGAGAAAGACTGACACTGAAAAAGATTGAGGGAAAGAGAAAAAAAACGAGTCAGAGAACATGGAAGTGACAAGACGGAGCAAGAGGGAGAGACTGAAAGAGGTGGATAAATAAGGGGGGGATGGGGAGGGAGGGGTGCTGGCACCAGCCTACTCAGGGCCAGATGTTTTGCGGCTAAAAAACTAGAGATGAATCAAAGCCATGTGAAGAGATTTATTAGGTTCCCATAGGAGCCCAGGCAGTATTACATGAAGCCCGCTCTGTTTACAGTGGCAGGAACCCCTAAACCACCCATCAACTACACTACTGGCTTGGCTGGGAATGTGAAGACTTTATATTTGGACTTATATAGGCTTTTGTCTTTATTCCTTTTCTCTCAGTGAATGTGCTGGAGGAGTTGGAAGAGAAACACAAGGCTGTTTAGTCTGAGTGCGTGAGCCAGAGTAGTCAACTGTAGCTCTGCCCAGTACAGTAGCACCCGCTGAATGTCTTTATTTGGCATCTGTTTCCCTCCATTTAGAGTTGATTTCAGATGCGTTTCGCCTACTCTGTCTGCTTCACATATTGAAGTTTGACACAGAGACTGCAATACAACTGGCTGCCTAATGGTTCAGGATTTCATTGACAGAACAGTGAAAAAGTTCCCCCATTTTTTATTTTTTATTAATCTCTTATGGATCCAATCTAATGCCTGCCATTTCATAATATTGGTGATAGAATGCATGCCGTGCCCTCTTGTGTTAATGGCTGCATCAGTAATGGATCCACACTGTATTGCTGCTAAGAGCTGACTGAATAATCTGCCCCTGCTGTGGCTGGAAAGACTGAGCCAGCTGTTTAATGATGTCAGCGTGCTGGAGGGGAAACGAATGAACACACACACACACACACACACACACACACACACACACACACACACACACACACACACACACACACACAGAAGGACAGACAGAGTTAGGCACACACACTTGAGGACAGACAGACGCGGACACGAGGCAAACGAAATGCATCCGTCATCAGCTGAACAGCTGAACTGACTTCACGGGAAGGAAACACCAACGCAGCCACCGTCAGGAGAACCGCGATCATATGCAGCATACCGACGCATAGTGAGGAGAGACAGATATGTAGAGGAGTCCCACTGTGAAATTAATGGGCCTGCCTTCCAAGTGTATGGATGTGACTCTCAGTTGTGAGGAGGTATAACCAACAATTAACAATTGTTTTCCTTTGTTGTTGCAGATCGATGCCTTGAGTAAAAGAAGTAAAGAAGCAGAGGCCGCCTTCTTGAACGTGTACAAGAAAATAATCGATGTCCCAGGTAAGACTACACTTTATGTCTGTGCTGCGTGTGTCCTTTGTGTCTCTGTATGTTTGTCTAGACACCTCCTGAGTCCAAGAACATGATCAAAAAGAACCACTTCTTACATGCAGACGGTACCAAAGGAGGAAAGGGAAAAGCGCACGCCACCGTACCTCTGGTGCTTCTTCACTGTGCATCCAGGCGTGTGCAACGCCTTAATATGTCCCCACGAGATCTCATCCCCACTGGTGAAGCCTTTAGAGGGTCTTAACAGAAGGTGCGTCCTGATATGGATGACAAGTGTGCCCACGATTGGCTGGCGTGAAGTGCACACATGAGCAGTCACGTTCAGCGCACTGAGGCCGAGGAGGGACACGCAGCACAGTGAAACAGAACACACACCGCCACAGAGCCACTGGGTGGAGGTTTCAGCTGTATGGGAGCCCTGGAGAGGTCGTGTATGTAGAAATGAGAGAGGAGCTGGGTTCATCTATAGCGTAAGGAGGTCATCATATTCCCACATGGATAGACCTACAGTAATATCTTTGGATTGTACTGCTCCCAATAAGTCAGCGCCAGCTCTGACGGGGCTATTCTTAACTTGCAGCGAGACAATGATGTAATGCCTGATGCACACACGCACACACGCACACACGCACACACGCACACACGCACACACGCACACACGCACACACGCACACACGCACACAGACACAGACCAGCCTGACTAATGCAGCAGTCTTGAAAGAGGAAACAGTGTGTTTTGTTCTGTCTTCTATCAACTGAGGGCCTGGTTAGTCAGCCCAGTGTGCTCTGCTTTAGATTAAAGGTGTCTGGCGAGAGCGCTCAGCACCAGTGGCCCACAAGTCAAACTGCTTTTAACAGGCTGTAGAGTTGATTTGGAGGGGGGGTGGGCTATGTGAAGGACAAAGGTTTGATAAGAGGGAGAGAAAGTTGATTTTCAAGGGCGCCGCAGCGCTGAGTCCAAATTCAGCGCATAGCGTTATGTTCCTTAGTGTTTGTTTGATCTTGTGTGTATTTGATTGAGACTATGCAAGTGTGCACATGATGTGTGTTTGTGACAAGGTGTGTGTGCCCTGCATGGTGTGTCACCTTGACAGCACAAAATCAGCATGAAATTCCCCAATCGTTCTCCGCTGATCTCTCATTAGCATAGTTAAGATATCTAACTGCGTCAAACACACACACACACACACACACACACACACACCCCCAGCTGTAAGTTGTCAGTTCCTGTTATCTATACAACACACACACATAAACACACACACACACAAACTGCTCTTTTAGCTGGCATGCTGATGAGCGTCGCCTGCGTCTCTTGGCTGCCTGTCACCAGTCTGCCACCCATGAGCACCAATCAGATGTGATTGGCCTGACTGACAGGGCTCTCTTCATCACACTGACAGTTAACCCTGCTGTGTGTTCACAGAGATGTTGGTGAAATGCCTCGAGAAATGTGTTGTCTTCCGTCTGTCTCGTGTTCCTTTAATCTCTTATTTACCTTTTGCCTTGCCTATTCTGTACGGCTCCACTTTGTCCATCTGTCTGCTCCAATGTTTCTCTTTTTTTCTTGCTTTCAAGCTGCATCATAGTGAACGCTTTCACTGATCATAGCCCAGTAATCTCTGTTGTTAATGTGTCTCATCCGCTGTCTGTGTGTATCTACGAGTATCACTTATCCAGTCCTCCTGCTGTGTCAGCAGTTGACGCATTTCCCCCACATACAAAAACAAAGTTATCTTGCACACCGACAATAGTCACTGTTGATACAATGGTTGATAGTGTATCATTCAATAACCTTTATGGATAAACAGAATGTGGCTGAACTGACTTCGACCTTTCATTGTTGTAGCAGGCCAAATATCTGTTCTGTTTTTCTCTTTCCGTTCAGTGAAGTGCACAAGTGTTTTATAAGTATTTACAGTACAGCATTGCCAATAATGTACTTAAGTCGATATTTGAATATATTTGAAATGAACATTACATTAGCAATGTTAGAATGTATCTATCAAGGTTTGTTAGTAACGATAGGTTTAGTGTAGGACATTTAGCTGTTGAACATTAATCATACTTATTTACAAAAAACAATTGGCAGCTGTGGCATCAGAGTTGTCATCCACCTATCTGACCGGTTGGTAGTTTTAAGTAAGAAAAATATAGCAGAAAGAAACCGGCAAATGTGTCATCTGAATTTACTGCAGTACAGTTTATTTTTTGCATTTCAGATCCCTCTGATGAGGAATTTAACCACGATAATCCAGTATCAAATGATAATGTCAGTTCTGTAAATAAAGTCAATCCCTGACCTATAGCTGTGTGATGCATTAGTGACGGTAACATATAACTCTCCTTGTCATATTATTGCTAGTATTTGGTATATGTTTTGGGCCTAGCAATAACCAGTCATTCTCCACAGGGAGATCAAAGGTCAGGGTCAGCTGCAGAACAGTTCTCCTGGAGCTGCAGGAGATTCATTGCCTTGCTCAAGGACACTTCACCAGGGCAAACTCCCGCTCTCACAGGGCCTTGGATGTAGTTATTCCTAGCTCACTAGGCCACCTCTCCGCCCTTGTTTGGGTAGTCTGTTTTGCAGTTTTCAGTGTGTTTAACGCGGTGTGTTTTGTCTCTGCCAGACCCTGTACCTGTGCTGGAGCTGGCTCAGCAGCTGCAGCTGAAGCTCCAGAGGATGCATGACATTGAGACAGAGAACACCAAACTTCGAGAGACACTGGAGGACTACAACAAAGAGTTTGCAGAGGTTAAAAACCAAGGTAAGGGACAGGACACATGCAGAGCCACACATTTGGGGATTTTACTGACTCTGAGAGGGGCATGGATGTAGGGCAAACAATTAATCATAGAGGAGCACATATCACCATTCCTTATTTCCGTATTTGTGTAGTTTGGCAGGTTTTTAATATTCTCTTCTCTTGTATTCTTCGTTTGCTTTACCATTATGGCCAGCGAAAGTGCAGAGTACACTTGTGTGACCAAAACCAAACTAAGATGGTGTAGCAGGCTGCTTCAGTGAGGAGGGAAAACAGCCTTTTGGCTAGGAAAGGCACATTTACACTGATTAATAGATGGGAAGAAAAATATACAGACGAGAAATGAAGGTGAAAAGACGGGATCTGTCCTAAAAATGGAACATATTGTTTAAGGTCATCAGTGTATTGTAGTTGGAAATATAAAAAACAACAAGATGAAATAAAATAAAATATATTTTAATCAGTTTGGCAATTGACCACCACAAAAGTAAATATTTGTTAAGACATTCAAACTGCTGCTACTCTGAGAACACTCTCAAAAGTAAAAGTAAATAATGATAAAAATGTTCACATGCAAGATAACAGCAACGATGTGTTTGTTATGCTTGAAGGTAACCTCACCATTCCCACCAGGAATGGGATTGTTCTTGATTCCTCTAGATTGAAGACAAATATATATATTTTGGCTTAAGTAACCTTAAAAAAATGTCTGTCAGACCGAAATGTAGAGCTGTGAAAAATATTCTAAATAGATTTAATTGTTTACAGTAATAAGTAAAGTTGTTTTTTTAATAATGTGAACTAATGTGGCTCAAACTGGTTTTGCTGCTGCTAACATCACAGCTTTGCTATTGTTTTGGTACAAATGCCTGCTGGGGTGTGCGTCATACATGGAGTATGAGCAATTACGTCATACAACCCTACTTTAAGAATTTGGAACTATCCCTTTTATTATTGAGCTCTAAGTGTGGTGCTACAGAGGTTTAATAATTGCTTCATGCAAGTTTCTCCACTCAAAGAAACAAAACTCAATATAATATACGAGTGTGGTGTGGCTTTTTGTTTGTGGCGTGGGAGGATACGGACACTCCGTATATTTTCTTGCTTATTTGGACCTTTGCCAATCACATTTCTGCATTATGTTTGCATGTTAATGAACTGAAATATAAGTTCATGGAAACATATTTAGCCCTTTTTCAAAGATCAAGGGCAAATTTGAACATATTCGAATGCCTTATAAATGTTTCAAACACACACAATTTACAAGGTTTTACATTTTCAAATAGGTTTCAGGGGGAAAGCAACACGAGGCACAGTTTCATGAATAAAAAACGACAGGCTACCTCGGGGTAAAGAAAGACGGAAAAACTGACAGAGGCAAGAGATGAGTGAAAAGCAGCAATAAAAGTGGTATAATTTTGGTCGAAAAGGAGGAGTGAGCGAGCGAGCAGGCAGTGTTTTGGAATCCCCCTTTCCTCAGCGAGAGTTAATTGGAACAGCTCGATAGCGGCAGGGTTCCATTTTGCCATTGATTTTCCTGTTCCCTCATCCTTTATCCCTCCTTCCCGCCTCAATAGATGGGGGATATTAAAACCCCAAAACACACTGTGGAACTCCCACTCCTGTTAAACGCACACGCAGACCTGCTCGCACACACACAGAGTGCAGGGGCCATTGATCCCCGCAACCTAAATGTTTAAAGTTCAGTTAAGCAGTTAAGGGGTAAGAGGGCTCTGAGGGGACTCTCCTCTATTGATTATGTGTCAGAGCAGTGAGACTGGAGTTTAAATCACACACACACACACACACACACACACACACACACACACACACACACACACACACACACACACACACACACAACGCACACACACACAAAGTGCTAAGAGCCCTCAGTCAAAGGCAGCAAGCAGCAATGCTCTTTATCATTGTCTCACTCACTTATATCTTTCTCTGTGAAACACACACACGGAGGCCTATTTATTACCCCAGTTATGTGTTAGATTTATTTCAGGCTGCCCCATACAGACCTCAAGCCGTCAGCAAGTTATGGGGTTTCAGCACTAATGCAGTCCTAATGAATACAGCATATCTGCTGCTGGTGATCGGTGAATATCCTATACCAGTCATGGGTGTAAAGATTAGGCCGGAGCCATAGGGGCAAAGGCCTTAGACTGTGCTGACAGAGGAAGAATGTGGGATATGAAAAGCTGTTCCTTAAGCAAAGGTCAAACCCCCCCCCTGTCAGAGGGATTATCGTCATCACTGCCATTTAGCACATCTAAGAAACAGCTATAGTCTGGTGTCTATATATTTAGCAAATTGTCTGTTTTTAACTTTTCCTTTCTGTACGTTCTGCTTCACCCTCTCCAGAGGTGACCATTAAGGCCTTGAAAGAGAAGATCCGTGAGTACGAGCAGTCTCTGAAGAATCAAGCCGAGAACCTGGCCCAAGAGAAGCAGCTCCAGCTACACAACGACTATGCAGAGAAGGAGAGGTGTGTGTGTGTGTGTGTGTGTGTGTGGTGTGTGTGTGTGTGTGTGTGTGTGTGTGTGTGTGTGTGTGTGTGTGTGTGTGTGTGTGTGTGTGTGTGTGTGTGTGTGTGTGTGTGTGTGTGGTGTGTGTGTGTGTGTGTGTGTGTGTGTGTGTGTGTGTGTGTGTGTGTGTGTGTGTGTGTGTGTGTGTGTGTGTGTGGTGTGTGTGTGTGTGTGTGTGTGTGTGTGTGTGTGTGTGTGTGTGTGTGTGTGTGTGTGTGTGTGTGTGTGTGTGTGTGTGTGTGTGTGTGTGTGTGTGTGTGTGTGTGTGTGTGTGTGTGTGTGTGTGTGTGTGTGTGTGTGTGTGTGTGTGGTAGGTAGGTAATAACCTCTGCATTCTTTTTCATTTAAAACCTTTGGGTCATTGTGCCCTTTGAACAGATCTGCTATGATTCCAATCTTTGAAGGATTTAAGAATTCTGGCTTTTTTTCATTTTATGCAGAGCTATTCATGACTTAATTCCTTCTTCTCAGCTAATAGTTCTTGGACTTGTTCCTCATGGTTATCGGTTCAATCAAGAAATTGCTGCTTGTTGGCATTGCCTTCCTTTAAAACATGAATGCAGGGATGAAAATACTGAAAAGACGAAGCCAGCATTTTTGTCATGTGGGTGCTTGCCATTGTTGTCTTGATGGGAATCAACACCTCAGACTCCTATTTTCTGTCTTTACCACATTATCTCCAGCCTTTTTGTTCAGAATAATTGCTACCACAAACCTCTATTGTCTCTGAAAAGATACACCACTGAATGAAACCCACTAAATGACTATGTAATGACAGAAAATGCTTAGGTGTCATTTAATTTTAATCTAAAGTAATTTATTCTGATTTAATAGCTTACTTCCTTTCCAACCCCATTTTCCTGGCATTTTGGAGTCTTGTTTTTTTCAGATGCACGGGAAGCCTGTGGCAATAATAAATAAGCTCTCAATTACTGCCAGATAATAAAAAAAACATGAAAAAACAGTGAGAAAATGCTGTATTAACTCTTTGAAAGGCTAGACAGAGTCACAGGCAGGCAGCATCATAATGTTGCTTCACTTATAAACTCAAACGTATTGCTCAATGAATCAATAATATTATGCTGGCCAGGCCAAACTGAAAACACGAGGTTCAGTTTTTCAAATGCAGGTGGAGAATTGACATGTCAACCTTAAATGAAGTTATCTCTGATAGCAATGATGCTCCTATTTGGAATTAAAGGGATATATAAACGTGTGCAGAGTCGAAGAGAAATGATGAGCACTCGTACGATTTAGCTGGAGCAGCCTCGGGTCTTAAAGACACGGCACATCTTCACTGAGGGTGAGCAGGAGTTAAAGGTGGTGATGGATGCATTAAAGCTGAACATGTTTCTAAACTAGGAAATGAAGCACTGCCAAAATCAAGAAATCAATAGAAAAGTCAATATGGTGGGTCATAGAGCTCAACAACACATGGTAATGTTCAGTGTTGCTCACGCGCAGATATAATAATGATATGTTAAGTGTTGTAATACTGGGTGATGGAGAATGATTTCTGAATGACTGCAAACAGAACAGGGTAGTAGAATGCTCTCTGTCTTTTCAAAGGAAAACAAGTAAAGAGGAATATATTTTCAAATGTTTTCCACTGCATTACTTTATTTGTTTGAACAGGAAAACACTTTGTTCTGTGCTGTTTGATAATTTAGCTGCATTTTGGATAACACTTGCAATCCCATTTGAACAATCTTTACCTGCATATGGGTTATCCAAAAAGTTTGTCATTGTGAAAGTTTTCCTCAAGACAAAAGATCACTAGTTTGGATTACTTCCAGTTGCATCACATTCTCATTTAACATTTTGAGGCATTGCCAACAAATGCTACAGAGTTTTTTTTCTTCCACACTCCCTACAGTCATTAAAACACTTCACAAGAAACTTTCTCAGTGATCCTTTTTTTTAAAAGTCTCTGGCCCACTTACTGTGTGTTTATTAAATGTTCAGTACAGAGCTCATATTTCCCTTTGTGTCAATCATCATGTTTGCCGTGAAGCCATGTTAAAGCTCACTGCTCCTTTCAGACGTGTAGCAGAAGATCAATTGTCCAACTGTATTTCCTTTACGTCAGTGTTTTATAGGCCTCTTCCTGTCTGCAGAGAGCTGACTTCCTGTGTCTGAGAGGGGCAGTAAATGGATGGCACCTCTGATGCATTTTATCCTGCAAGGAGTGAGGGAAGGAGGGAGAGGGAGAGATGAAAGGATGAAGGAGAGGGCTGAAAAATAGAGATGACAGATTGGCGGAGAAGGGGGGCATCAAAGAGTGCCATAAAGACTGTCTTTGTGCTATATTATTGATGTTTTTACACGCAGTGGCAATTTCTCAGCAGAGCCCAACTTTTTATATGCTAAGAATGAATCTATTTTATCCTTGTGGTTTCTGACACCCCCTTCCCCCTCTCTTACTAAACCCTTGCTCTCCCTCACTCTCCCCCTGGGTGCAGTGTGCCCCAGTGGCCAGACATTCCTCCCTAATAGGGCTGCTTAATGAGGAGTGGGTTGTGTTGGGAGGATTTTAGTGGGGAAAACACTTCAGAAATGGTGGGAGAATAGAGAATAGTTGCAGTTGCCACAAATTGTGAAAGCAAGATGTACTGATACAGTACCTCTATCTGTGACTTCTTTCTCCAAACTCTTATTTTCTCACCTTCTGTCTGCCTCTGTAGGAAACTCCAGGAGAGCCAGGACTCCATGTCCTCACGGTTGGAAGAGTCCGAGCACAAGGCCCAGTCCCTACAGACAGGTACCAGCCTTACACAGGCCTGAGAACTGTTTTAGCCCGCTCAATTAAAATGGCAACCTTATCACTTTAATATTAGGTGGAGCTGGCTTTAAAGACTTGCTTTCAACTCTTAGGTATTTTTCACGGAATGTACATGTTTGAAAAAGTTTTGAAGTTAAACACTTAATCTGCTTCATCTGAACCAGGTGGGTGTGGTTTGATCAGATTGACAGTGGCCTAGCAACATGGGCAAATAACACCTTGACGTCAGGACAAAAGCACAAGCTGTACAGAAATCTAAGGAAAATATAAAAAAAGTGAAGTGAAAGAAAAATGAATCGGAAGAAGATCTTTTTTCTTTAGACAAAAACGTCTAAATCTAAATTTTAAGAATAAAGTTGATATACCATTTAATAAACCTCAAACTACAAGGGGTATCATATATATTGTACGTTTTTATTTTAAATAACTATAATCTTTATTTACAGAATGCGTAGAAGGAAGCAGTTTTAGAAAATATGTTTTCAGGGTCTTTGAAAAGTATTGTTCCTACTTGGTTATATATTATTTATTTGAAAGTCGACGATTTAAATTCACAACCGACTCTTTTTCCATCTTTTGCAGCACTTGAAACAACTCAGGCCGAGCTCTTTGATTTGAAGACCAAGTATGACGAGGAATCCACAGCAAAGTACGTGTCCTGGTGATATATGCGTGTGTTTGCTGGTGACTTCTCCCCTCTGGCTCCTCCATATTCTGTTCCTGCCTGGAAACTCCCCCTTCTCTCCCCAACAGCTGGACTGTCTCCCACAACGCTCGGCAAAATCCAAATCCCAGCATTACCCAACGCACTGTAAATACTGACAAGGATTGTAATGCGTTCTGCAGCCACAGCAGCACCGAAATAGGGATCTTCTGTGTGTGGTGTAGGCTAAAGCACTCTCTGATTCATCAGGGTCCTGAGGAGGAGGAGAAGCTGACGAGGGTCGCTTTGAGATCTCTGACTAAAAGCCACGCAGGCTTCTAACAAGACCTTTAAGATAAGGTGGCTTCAATTACGTGAGCTGTAGGCATCTATCATTATCGATCTTATAGTAGTGGCGAGGATGAGAACAGAAGCTTTTCCATGTCAGCACTCCTCACTGTGAAGTGGCACTTTATGACATTCACACTCTTTGTTCCCTCGGGGTTAGTAGCGAGAACCAGAGCCACTCGGGCACCCAAACCAGCATTCAGAAAGTTAAAATACTGACAAAAAAAATGAAGCCTTTTATGGTGTTTTATTGGCAATTGGTGTAAAGAACAGATCACTGTTAACTTAAAACATCAACTCTTTTTTTATATCATTTATACTATTTATAGAAATGTTCAAAGGTTCCGTGTGTGCGCCCTGCCTACAGAGAACTATCAACTTAGCTTTTAAGGTTCCCCCCCTCGCCATTTACCCTTCCCCAAACTCACTGTGTGTCTCTCCATTAACAGAGTTGTTAAATTGATTGGCTGTTAAAAACAGATCGATCCCTCTCCTCTCTTCCTCAGGATACTTTCCCCCTCGTTTCTAGCACACTGTCTTTTTTCCCCTGCACTGCGAGTGTAAGAGGAAAGGCTACCAGAAGATATAGCATGCGGTATAATGGCACTAATCAATAGGCTCATAGTTTATCATAGAAGCCCCCCCCGCTTTATTTGTATTTTTCATGACTATATATCCTCTACTTTATCTCATTTCTTTACACTTTCTTATTTGTTTTTGCGTCCTTGTCTGTTCCTTTCATGTCAGAAGAAACACATTTTGAAAAGACATATAGAAGGTCCCATTTGCTTACAGAAGCTAATAAACACATGCACACACACACACACACACACACACACCACACACACACACACACACACACACACACACACACACACACACACACACACACACACACACACACACACACACACACACACACACATCCTCATACAAATACACACTCACTCACTCGTGAGCCTGAGGCAGTCAGGGTCCTTGACTGTGGCGTGCTGTGATCTGAAATTTTAATGCAACGCTTTAAAGCACACACAAACCCTCTCTAACCCTGCACCCTCCCAGTCCTTGGAGTCCTTCCCCCGTTTACTGCTTGGCTGAGCAAATCGCCAGTGTTTGGCTGAACACAACTTTTAACCCTTCGACTGCATATATTTTGGCCCTGCAAAACACAAACTCCATACATATCATGCACTTTTTCCACACATACACACACACTTCAGCTCTAAACTTTCCACTAAGGAGGACATTGCGTGACAAATCCCCCATCCTCCTGCTGCATTCGGGTAATCTGCCTTTTAAAATACACTTACACACACTCAGACACGGACGTACACACACTCAGAGAGAATTTGGTCGATGTTGCAGTGCCCGGAGTGTGTGAGCGGCAGCGGGAGGCGGGCCTGCCGATGTAGCGTAGCCCCCTGTGTGTGTTGGCGCTGTGAGGGTCTGGCTGGCCGCATTTTACCCGTTTAGTCCCTGTTAAAGATTAATGATATATTGATCCCATCCCCACAGGATTCTCTCTCTCTGTCTGTCTGTGTGTGTGTGTGTGTGTGTGTGTGTGTGTGTGTGTGTGTGTGTGTGTGTGTGTGTGTGTGTGTGTGTGTGTGTGTGTGTGTGTGTGTGTGTGTGTGTGTGTGTGTGTGTGTGTGTGTGTGTGTGTGTGTGTGTGTGTGTGTGTGTGTGTGTGTGTGTGTGTGGTGTGTGTGTGTGTGTGTGTGTGTGTGTGTGTGTGTGGTGTGTGTGTGTGTGTGTGTGTGTGTGTGTGTGTGTGTGTGTGTGTGTGTGTGTGTGTGTGTGTGTGTGTGTGTGTGTGTGTGTGTGTGTGTGTGTGTGTGTGTGTGTGTGTGTGTTGCTTTATCTGTGTCTAAAAGGACTGATAACATTTTGGGGAAAAACATTAAATTTCTGATAATTAAGAAAGAAAAGCCTTTTGACTGTTGCCTGTGTCCACCACAAACAAACACAAAATGGCGCACAACATGCACACACACAGACACACTCTCACAGCTAGCTTCTTTTTAAGCCTCCTTGAAATCCCCAAGGTAACACGCTGTGAAAACGCAATGTGGAGAAAGCTAAGGAAAGAAAAGGAATGGAGTGATGAAAGCTAGAGGGCAAAAAGCGAGTCAGAGGCTGGAGGCTCCAGCGAGGAAGAGGGGATAAGAGTGTGATAGAGGAGGGAAATGAAAATCTAAATCAGGGGAATATCCTGCTGGCACTGAGGACAGAGGCCGAGGAAGAGAGGGCGAAAGATGAGAGAGGGGAGGTGGAAAGGGGGGAAAAAAGATAAAAGGAGGAAAAGTGGAGGGGAAAGGAACGGGTTGAGGAAGGCAGGCAGAGGGTGAAAAGAAAAGGAGGGTTGAGTGAGGAGCAAGCGAGAGAAGATGATAAGAGATGAAAAGGCCTGTCTGCGATAGAGGAAGTACAGTAGGGGCTTATAGGCTCTGGGCTTGTTCTGAAGTCCTACAGTGCTCACTGATGTCACTTGTGCAGCCATTGGCTTTCATGATACAAAAGCGTGTCTGTTGTTTGTCTATGTGATTTTCCAGTGCAGCTGTGCGTCTGCTCTATAGCTCCTCCCTGTGGCTGCTATATTAAGCCGTGTAGGTGTGTTTTAGTGGATTTAAATCAGATTTTTACCATTTAATAAGGACACTCCCTTTACTGTTTAGTGTTTGAATTAATTCCAGCATCAGCTGGCCAAGGACAGTTCCTGCCCTGCCCTGCGCAGCGACTGACTGACTGTATCAGGATATGGAGAAAATCCCTTCCCTGTGATCTGCTTTGGCCCTCAGCCTCTAGCTTTGCCTTTTATAATTCCCAAATACAGCCAAATCCAAAGGTTATTTAAGAAGACTTTGTGCATCTGTACTTTGATTAAATGATCACATTTGGAGCAGGAGCGGTGGTGTATTTGGGTTGCATTACTACCCATAAACGCTCTCCATTACAAGCTTTTCTGGCTTGTTGGCTCTCTGACCCTACATTTGTGTGTGCGTGAGTGCGAATGAGTGCGCACGTGGGTCCGCACACTATAGCTTAAGACAGGATAATATGTTGCTTAAATGCATACTAGATCCTTTTAACTGTAAGGGAAAGAATAAAAGCGTAGAGTGAAAAGCTCTCCCACCCACATCTGATTCTTTTTGCTGCATTGCCTGTGGCACAATGTTGACCTAATATCAACTGTGTCTGTTTTGTTAAACACATTCAAATCAGTAGTACTCAAGCCTATGGGACATAACGCTGTTTCTCATACTGTGACACACAAATACAAAAGCTGCGTGGGTTATTGGGTTTACTATCAAAAGATTGCAGGGAAATCAAAAGGTCTTAATGGACATGGCGGTGCACATATGCGCTCACATCTTTGAACTCAATGCCACTCTTGTGTTCTTATCATCATATAATGTCTTGAATAAAAACTCATGCACACACTGTGTCTTTGCACGGCATTCAACACAAAAATGTTCATGCATTTTGTTGTTGTAACCTTATACGGCAAAATGTATTCAACATTTATCCTGGAACGCACGCTGACTCACAACTCATTACCAGAAAGGGTCTTATTGTTTAACCATGGTGCATACCTATACTTTTTGTAAGTCTTAGAAGAAATTGACTTTCAAAGTTTGCTCAACATTTCATTCATTGTTAAGTGACAGGGTTTCACGTCACTCATGAAAGAGGGTTATACATTTTTTTTTTCTCAAGTTCAAAAAGAGGTGGTATTATGGGGATGTATTCTTGCTGTGTGACCTCTAGCAAGTGAGAGGTGAACCATGGCCCCCATCCAGACCATTAGTCAGACACAATCACACAGCTTCATAGCAGATTAGTCGGCTGTATTAGGACTTAGAACTCTATTAATGTAATCCCTCTGTTTTAGTGTAGCCTGGGTTTAGGGGCTTACATGCACACACGCACACACACACACACACACACACACACACACACACACACACACACACACACACACACACACACACACACACACACACACACACAAAAATACATCGATGCATGCACACATACAAGCTGTTTGGGTTATGGAGTTCACAATCGATGGATTAAGGTGAAATTTAGACAGTAGCTTAATGGACACGGCATCAGCCTCCTAAATGAGTTCTCTCTAAACAATCGCACTCACACGTGATGTGTGCAGAGTGTACTTCCTGGGATTCATCTGTCCATTTATCCATTCTTTCATATTTGTTTTGTATTTGTTACAAGCGCTGTCACTTCCTGTGTTTTAACAGTAAATGTCTTTGTCAGGGCCGATGAGATTGAGATGGTGATGACAGACCTGGAAAGAGCCAATCAGGTAAACTTCATAGCTGAACATTTTTACACAGCATTGTTCAAATTCTCCGTCACACTATCCTTCAATATTTGTATTATTAAAATATAGACAAATAAACTGAGAGAAATGTGTTTAAATTGATGCATGTACATTTTATATAGAGATTCTAGTGATATTCTATTTTTTTTCTTACCGTCAACAAATTTCACAAAAAGACCGAAACCAAAATACTTTAAAATGTCTTTGAAAGGTCTTATTTAGCTGATTGCTCTGAGACAAAGAGCTCCATTGTCGTCCAAAACAACGTTAAAAACACATTGGTAAGCCACAAAGTTGCACTGGGTGACGTGTTGCTGTTTTAAAAGGTTAAACATGGGAACTGCAGTTTTGTTTATTTGTGTAGTCAATCCCACGTACACCATCATGCTGTTGTATATATCCACTAGAACAGCAAGCATGTTTTCATTTGGTTGTTAAAGTAGTCCTCGACCTAAGCACTACTTACACATTACTCCTGTTTGAGTTGCGTTTGTTTGAAACTACATTCTACTTTAAGTATTGATTGATGGACTACACACTGGTGGTTTGGATCTTATTTTAAATCAAATATGTTTCAGAAAACCATCAACATAGAATATCCACAGGCTTATCCGTTAAAATATAAATATCCGTCTCTTCAGAATCCATGAAATGTGGCTTCCATGAACACATAGTGACTTCTTACTGTGAGGGCTGCTGTTTGTTTTACATGTTTAATACACACCTAGTAAACCCACCCTGCTGAAATAAGCCCCCTGGCGTGCGCTCTGCCCTTGTGTTGTAAACATTCCTGTGGTATCTGTTAATGTCATTGTTGTTAACTTTCATTATTAGCCCAAGAATATGATTTGTGGCTAAAGGGGTAGCATAGGCATGTAATGTTAATATTAGCCTAAAGGTTAGCGCTCCAACTATAATGCCACACACACACTATTCACACTTCTGATTTGAGGTTTACAGAGGATGACAGCATGGCCTCCAGCTCAGTCAGACTTTTTATACGCTTTTATAAAGAGAAAATGGAAAACAGGATTTCTCTCTTACAACAAACAGTCCAATTCCCACCCAGTCAATAACCGCTCTCAATATGGTTGCAATTAGGAACAGTGTGGAATCGGCTCCCTGTGACTCTTAATGATGGCAAGTTGGCCGGTGTTGCAGATGATTCTCAACTGGAGCTTGGCGGTTTGGCCATAAACACAAAGCAGCGGGTATCTCTATCCCAGGACTCATTTAATATTTTCAATTAAGGAAAAATCCCCCCTCCTCCATCATCACACACTTACTTTGCGTTCTCTCTGCCCTCCCTCCACTTTGTAGTGTGTAGTGTGTTTTTGCTGGGATGGGGTGAACTTCCTTTCCATAAAGACACACACAGTAGGCCGTTAGAAGGTGGTGGTCTATTTGAAACGTTTACTCCTTCAATCTGATTCCCTATTTGCTATGCCAAACCCTTGTGCAGTGTAGTCCATTCATCCGTTTACTTTGCCGAGCCTGAAAACAAATGTTGAGCTAATTATTAGTAACGTTTCATCACCAACATCATCCTCCAAAGTACATTAAGTTGCTACACATGCTCTCTCCCTGTAAATGTTTTGGATTGGTTTTCAATTGCTCTTGCTCATGTGTGTATGCCAAAAAAGAACATTAATTGACCATTAGATCGATCATTTATGACAATGTTTGAACCTCTTGTGGATTTTTCCTAAACTTCTCCTCCTCTCCTCCCAGCGAGCAGAGGCAGCTCAGCGCGACATGGACTCGCTCAGAGAGCAGGTGTCCTTGAGCAGCCAATCCCAGCTGGGCAGCCCGGCCAAGGCCGACCCCGACACGGTAACACATCACACTCTGATTTACTGCATGGCTGACAAATAGGAATTGATAGTCTAAAGCAGTGGTTCTCAACTGGTCAGGCCTCGGGACCCACTTTTTCCTTAGTCAATAGATCGTGACCCGAAATGTTGAACCACTCAAATCTATTCAACGAAAAATCCTGCAGTAATATATACTCTTTAATATTAATATTAATTAAAGTGAAGTACAGTGCATATCCCTTATATCCCTTCACAGAACAAAAGAATGCTTTTAAATAAGGTTTAATGAGATGATGGAATCAAAGCTGAACTGTATGATGAAATACTAACATATAAACTACCCATTCTGGTACACTCTGAGAAGAAAATAAATAGATGTATTACCACATATTAATAATATTTTATTCCATTGTTTGTTTTTCACTTTGTTCTGACAGCTGAACTTGCTGTTCCACACAGAGAGAAGAGCAAAGAGGAGATAGTCTGTGTGAAATAGTTTAAAGTGTGGGTAAGGGTAGATAGCCCCCATTGTTCTGTGACCTGTCAATCATCAAACCGGGGTTCATGTCATTATGTGTTCATTTTTATCTGAAGTTGTAACCATGGATGTACAAAGAATAGTTCTACCGCAAAGTTATTCTGCAAAGTTATTCTCCGTGGGGACTTCCGGCTACAATCTTGATTCTGATTGGCCAGAAGACTCGAAAAAACATCAGCAAAGATGTTTTATTGAGAAGATGATCACTACGTGACAGAAGTTTTCAAATCCGTTTATGGTCTCCGGTACTTCCAGTCCAACGCCTACTGCATGCACAGTGTTAGAAAATCGGGCCTTCAAAATAAAACTTTGACTTTTTTCCCCCAAAAAAGACCAGTTGAGAACCACTGGTCTAAAGATCAGCTGGGCCTTTTTTATGCTAGAGGCGGTCAACTTATCTTAAAGGTCACACATCGGTGTCATCAATGGTGTATTGATTTGCAAAGGAAAGGTTGCCAGGGTGGCTATAAGTGATTGGTGTATTGATTTACTCATTTATTGGGTCAATTCAACGACTGCTGAGGTGAAGTTTAGTTAGTGACAGACGGCCACACCAAAGTATTTGCTTAATTGATCCTCAATTTTGGGTGGTCGTTATTAATTAACGCATCACAAATATGTATTGATCTAAAGGAAAGACCTTTTGAAACAATAATCAGTACATTGACCCGCTTCTGTCTGATTTCTGTAATGATTGTTTGAAAGTATCTGAAAGCAGGACTTCATCTGGCTGTGGTATTAGTTTTATTTTGCTCATTTGATTAAATTGCTTTCTATTTGGCTTTATGGAACAGCAGACGGAGGGGGCATCCAACTCAAGTCAGGAGGCGGAGCTACGGGCCAAAGAAAGGGAGACAGCCCAGCTGGTGGAGGACGTCCAGAGACTGCAGGCCAGCCTGACCAAACTCCGAGAGACCACCAGCTCTCAGATCGCACAGCTGGAGGAGCAGCTCAGCAGCAAGACTGCCACTCTCAAGGTACAGCCAGGAAACACCGCTGCAGTTTTTAGTTTGTCATTAGATTGATTTTAAATATTCATTTTCTCAAAATACTTTTTCTGTACTACTGTATTTCTGTCTTTATCTAGCTTCGTGGTGTATTCTGACCACACCTGAATCTATATTACAACTTTTGTTAGCTCTGTTCTGTTATCTAGAGTAAAGATTCTGAAAAGAGTACATGACATATGAAGTTCCAAGGATTACTTATTTTATGAACTATTTAATTCATTTCCATGTCATTTATCTACAGGAATTGGAGGAGAAAGTGCTTAAGCAAGCTGACTATGAGGAGGTGAAGAAGGAGCTGAGGTGAGGAGAACACACACAGACATATATATTGCATTAGTCTGATGTCTTAACAATGTTAAACATGATGTGTGTCTGCCCTTCCATTCTTTCTTATCCTCGAAGAGATACAAATAGAAAAGCTAGCACTGTAGATGTGTTTCTTTAGTAGTAGGAGTAGTAGGCTGCTGAAACTTGTATCCATGTATTTTTTCTTTTAATGTTTATTTTATTAGCTTTTCTTTTTAATGACTGATTTTAAATGCCTTTTTCTTAATGTCTTTCATTTTTTGTAAAGCTCTTTGAATTGCCTTGTGTTGAAAAGTGCTATATAAATAAACTTGCCTGCCTTGCCTTTCTTTAGTAGGAGGTTCATGTGTATTTTCTCTCTCCTCAGCATCCTCAAGTCCATGGAGTTTGGCACATCTGACTCTATGCAGGTAAAGGTTACAGTTACAATATACCTTCACATAATTTTGTAGCAATAGTTATTTAAATAATGATGAAACAAATCATACAATTTCACTTTGAACCAGGACTCCTCCAAACCTCTGGAGGTGCTGTTGCTGGAGAGGAACCGCAGTCTTCAATCTGAGAGCGCCGCTCTGCGCATCGCCAACACTGAGCTCAGCGGTAAGTCTGCCAACATGTACGGTTATAGTAAGGGCCGGTACATCAACACTGCCCAGTCTGTCTTCCCAAAAACCTTCACGTGGACCAGCACAAAATGCCAACAGAATGGGAGTCCAGTGTTTATTGGAGCTTAGATGAGGGGTCAGCTGCAGGTAAGGCTGTGCAGGTACAGCTATAACAAGAGATAGCAGTTTAATGTATACATACTTAATGTATACTTAAGCCTATAGATTCTGTTTCTCTGAGAATACTTAACCATTTAATAATGTTTTGGGAAATGATTTGCAACATTTGGTCCACAGTAAAAGGTGTAATCCTGGTACAGAAATGTCGTTGCTTTAGTCACTCACATCATGGAGAGGAAGAACGTTTCTGGTATCTTTGAATACCGCAGCAGGAGGTCAGCCTGAACCATAACAAAGTTGCAGTACACAAAATCGAGGACACCGAACGTTCGCCCCGACATCGAGAATCTTGCCCTCTGCAACAGTGTTTATACGTTTGAAATGTCATAGCTTTAGGCTTGAATAGTTGAATAGCTTTGAATTGATTAACATTCACAGTAAGGGTTGCTTACTGTCTTACTCAATCATGTCTCAATGGTTATGCTTTAGAATATTATTTCTCCCAGCGCTTCCATCAAGATGGGTTCTAGTAGTTAAAAGGCTGAGTAAATTCAGTTTATCTTTCTTTTTGTTTTGGTGAATGTATGAATGTCTACCCATTGAGGAAATAGGTGAAGTAAGGCCTAAGAGTCAGCAGAGCTGTGTAGTCACTGTTTTTTTAGTGACATGCGTTTTCTGTTCAGCCATAAACACTGTTTTTCAATTCAGTTGTATTGCTCTGTTTTCACCTGGATGTATTTTTAATGAAAGACTCTGATACTGCATCTACGAGCGGCAACATCGTGGATGAGGACTTGCATGCTGTATTGGCTATCTGTGGATCATTGTACCCTGTCCACTTACTTCCACTTTGCCTGCGAGAGAGTGAGAGAGGGAGCCTGAGCCCTGGGCCAAGCTAATCTGCCTCAGTGGCACAGTGTCAAATGTTTTTGTTTGTCCTTTTTTTTCTTCCAGGCTGTGTCTTACAAGAAAGGTTGAAATCACAAATGCATGGGCACTTTGTCTGGGGGGCTTGGCAAAAAAGGAAAACAAAAGTTCACTAATTTGGAAAAGACTTGATTAAGATAACTTTTGTTATTTTTTTTCTCTCTCTTTTGGAACCCCTTTTTTGTTGACCCCCCCATAATGCATGGTGTGTTTGACCTTTCTTGTAGGGTCAGCCGGGCGGAAAGGGACAGAAGAGTCCACAACGAAGGAGGAGACCATGCCCAGCGATCCCTCTTCCTCGCCCCCTTCTCCCCCTCCCTCTCTTCCTTCCTCCTCCCAGTTCCCCCTGTCTCGCACTAAGACGGACACCCTAAACACTGCCACCAACACCAGCAGCGGCGAAACGCACCCTTTCAGTCCTACGGGCATTGGACAGGATTTCTACTCCCCTGTGTTCCCTCTGGTGGGTGGTAAGATGGCTTTGAACTCCCTGATCCAGCGGCAGCTGCTTCAGACCTTCTACTCCAAAGCCTTGCAGGAGTCGTCTGGGATCCCCAGTGGCGCTCTGCTGTTCACGCCCTTCACTCCAACCCTCAGCTCCATCCCTACCTCCACCCCAGGCTCTGGGTCAGCTGCCATCCCTCTGGCGGCCAGCAGCCCCCAGCCACCTCCAGCCAGCCCAGACATGGCTCCTGTGAATGGGAGCAGCACCGCTGGCAGTGCCCCGTCCCCATCACCCAGCCACTCTGAGGCCACCACGGGAAGTATTTTGGACGGGGAGGACATGGACACGGGTGAGATTGCCCGACAGGTGAAAGAGCAGCTGATCAAGCACAACATTGGCCAGCGAGTGTTTGGCCACTATGTGCTAGGACTGTCCCAAGGATCGGTGAGCGAGATCCTGGCCAGACCGAAGCCGTGGAACAAGCTAACCATCCGGGGGAAGGAGCCTTTCCACAAGATGAGGCAGTTCCTCGCCGATGAGCAAAACATCCTCGCACTGCGCAGCATCCAGGGACGGCAGAGAGGTGAGTCAGTGTATCTTTCGTGTGTGTGCGTGTGAGAGTGTGTGTGCGTGTATGTCTTGCATGTGTACAGCCCTGCACAGAGCCATTGATTAGCTTGTCAATATGGACTAGCTTTATATTTTTCTTTCTCTTTCCTAACTCCCATCCTGTGCCACACCTGTGTGTTTTCAGTGAGTTCCTAGTCACGCACCGATCCCAAGAGCCTCTCCTAGCTATCGTGGTCAATAAAGAAACCTTTCACACATCAATAGTATTGATCGTGGGAACCAGGAGGAAGGCAAGGGTACTGTTAACTACGGGTAGATTCGATTAGCCTGGGCCTGCTTTTGTTAACGCATCAGGACATTTGTGATTGAAGGTGGTCTCAGTGGTACACACAAATATAACCACCCTAGTACTAGAAAAAAAATAATGCGTTAAAAATAAGGCTGCAGTTAGTATGTCCCTGTTTAACACTTCCCTTTTAAATTGTTTTATCTCTCACTATTTTGCACTTCTTTATAATTCCCGATAGAGGTCGAGTTCTACTAGGGGCCACAGATGCTAAAGATCAATGCATTTATGGTACTATAATGTGCACTGGATGGAAGTCCCAACAAAATTCCATATATTTGCACAGGATTATAGGGCACCATATAGTCTAGCGGTAAAAGACGATAAAAACACACCAGAGCTGTAACATAGTGTGTGGTATATTGTTTTTAACAGAGGGCTCAGGCCAGCCCCAGCTTAGCCGAATGTTTCAGGATGTTCCGAAGCGGAGAGCCCTCTCCAATACAGCTTCACACACAGGTCTGTCCCCTTACACAAACAGATTTGAGCACGTTCTGTCTGTGTGGCATGTTCGTGTTGGGGTGAACCGTGTCTATGATGTGTGTGTATGTGAGTTGGCATTTATTAACTTGTGGAAGGCATGCATATATATATGTGTGTGCCTTGAAGGTAACCGCACAGTTCCAGTGACTTGCGTCAAAGCAGAAGCCAGCATGTGTATTTAGGAATTTTATTGGTAGTTGTTATTCTGTGGGGAGCATTTACTACACAAACCCTGTAGCACGTGTGCATGTGTGCGCTCCAAAGGGACCAGAGAAAAGATGAGAAACCCTTCAGTGTAGTTGCCTTGTCGCTCAGTGGTGGGAATGTTGTTCGTTGTGCTATGGTGTCATTATTCAATGTTCTTATATAGACTGTTATTGATTTCTTCACCTGCTCTGTGCTTGGTAATCTCTGCTTCCAAATCTGACATGAATTTTCACCTCCTCCCATTCCCTCTTCTCTTCCTTCCAGGTAACATTACCGCCCGGGTCCGCACCCCAGAGGCTGGTTCAGATGAGGCTATCAAGTCCATTCTGGAGCAGGCCAAAAGAGAGCTGCAGGTGCAGAAAGCTGGTGAGTCGCAGTTTTCTTCTCCTCTCCAGGGGATTTGAGGCATTGAAGATGATGCATTGTGGCTGTGAGTGTTTCTCGGTGTGACTTATGATGCCCTTTTTTTCTCCTCCCTCCACAGACTTGTCCCATGCTCAGCCTTCATATACAGGACTGAAAGGTGGGGGCGGCATGGGTGGCCTGGGAGGCATGGGAGGCATGGGAGGCCTGGGAGGCCTGGCAGGAGGAGGGGGCCACGGGTCAGATGAGGTTATCCGCTCCATCCTAGAGCAAGCGCGCAGAGAGATGGAGGCCCAACAAACTGCAATGGAGCCCCTCCTCAAAGCATCATCTTCGTCTTCCTCCTCACTACTATCACAGAGGGACTTCCTAAACTCCTCGCTGACCGCTCCCCTTCCCCCTTACAACCCCCTGGCACTCTCCCTCAAGAAGCCCAGCAGCTCCTTCTTGTCCTCCCCCTCATCCCCATCTCCCATCCTGGACTTCAGCTCCAGCGTGAAGAGAGAGGGCAGGGGTTCTTCAGGGATGGACCTGTCTGTTGAGGGAGCTCTCAGGCTGGGTCGGAGCTCTGACGGGTCCGGCCGCTCTGGAAGCTCTGGAGGAGTGGGTTACTGGAGAGAGCAGTGGTGGAGCAACATGCACACGGACCCCCGCAGGGCCGCAGTCAGCCAGACAGGAGAGGACAACCACATGCAGGAGGACTCCAAAGAGGTGAGGCGGGGCGCAGCCAAAGGAAAGGATTGTGGGTGTGCCCTTCTCTGCTTTTACTCTTCAGTGGTTGCATGTCTGAGCCATTCTCTGTCTGCGTGTTTCAGGGAATATTGAGTGACAGTCTGTCTCGACACAAGCCGTGGAACAAGTTGAACCAGAGGAGCAGAGAGCCATACCTCCGCATGCAGCCATGGCTCAACGGAGACCAGGGGCAAAACGCACACATCCAGCCAGCTCAGCACCAAGGTAAACAAATCACACACACACACACACACACACACACACACACACATACACACATACACACATACACACACACACACACACACACACACACACACACACACACACACACACACACACTCTCTCTCACTCTCACTCACTCTCACTCACTCACTCTCTCTCACACACACACACACCAGCTCATAGACTACATGGATTCACACAACCAGGCTCTGTGGGCTCGAGCATTTCTCTGTAAGCCTGATTAGAGCTAGTGGCTAGTTGTTACTGTCATTCTGTCACTCACACAATCCACCCCCCTTCACCCTCCCTCCTCCTCCCACCATCCCCCCATCCTCAGTGCTGTGGCAGTGTCAGCCAGCAAGCTGCTGGTTTGTCATGTCATAGACAAGTTAGTGTTGCAGCGCCAGATGGCAGCTCTGTGTGTGTGTCAGCGCGCACATTTGCGTGTCTCTCTTTCTCTCTGGGGGTGTAAACAGCAGCTAATGTACACTGACAGCTCCTCATGACTGCTCTCTTCCAGCCTGCTGAGCTGCACAGCAGTACTACACAGACAGAGACAGGGAGATGAAGGAATAGGAGGAAGAAGCCAAAAAAGCTTCAAACTTCAAACTTAAGCACCTTTAATGTTTGCTTAACAGGAATTAAATGAGTTGATTTAGTATAAAGGAAGTTCCTCCCAAACCCAGCAGGGAGAGGAGATGAACCTGTGCTACATGGTGACATGTCTTCTAACCTGTGCGACGTTCTCACCCTGTCTGTTCTCCTCAAGCAGAGGGTACTCCCAAGACATCTGCCAGCTGCAGCCCTGCTCCTGAGTCCCCCCTCAGTTCAGCCGAGGAGTCTGTCAACGGTCTTGGAGGGGATCCACTCGCTTCACAGTCCTCCAGTCTCAAACCTGCGTCTGAGGATCCCTCAGGTGGGGAGTCCCAGCCCGGCACCCCACTGCCTGTCCCCGGTCATTCGGGTCTCAGTATCCAGGAAATGGTTGCCATGTCTGTCGAGCTTGATACTTATGCCATCACCAAAAAGGTTAAGGAGGTGCTGACTGATAATAACCTTGGTAAGAAACACAGGAGGTGCTGTCTGTGCAGTTTAGTTGCTTATTCTTTTGCCCTTCCCCTGCATCATGATGAATTATTCAGCCTTAGAATCAGTTCTCTGAAATGACCCTTCCATTTTACTCTCTCTCGCCCTAACCAGGCCAGCGTCTGTTTGGGGAGACTATCCTGGGTCTGACTCAGGGTTCTGTCTCAGACCTGCTGGCCAGGCCCAAACCCTGGCACAAGCTCAGCCTGAAAGGCCGAGAGCCATTTGTCCGTATGCAGCTCTGGATCCAGGACCCACACAGTGTGGAGAAACTCATGGACATGAAGCGCCTGGAGAAGAAAGGTGTGTGTGCTAAAAGCTCAATCATGAGAAATATAGAGCAGCATGTCTCCCCAAATAATGAACAAAAGACCCTGACAGAAAAACGTTCATGTTATCTGCTTAAGCAGGCATTTATTTTATAAACAGTCACAAAAAGACAGCAGCCTTTGAATTACACATGCACATCTGCACACACAATATCCTTTGTGCAGGACAGCAGAGCATGTTGTGCAGATCACAGTCATCTTGGTGTGATGTCAGTAACAATCAGGACTGTAGACATCACATACTGTATTAGATGTGACAGCTCGGGGACCGCCAGGGGCCTGCTTACTCACAGTCATCAGCACTCCTCTTCATCATCCTCATCATCATAATAATCATCAGTGTCTATAAGTTTGTATTTTTATCATTTGTTCCTGCATCGCCCACTCTATCACTCCATCATTATTTATTCACCTCTGTTTACATGATGCGTTTAAGAATCAGCAAAGCCAAAGGGCCTCACCCCGCTCGCTGCCTCACAGTGACCCCCGATGCTCACTTGAAGCTCTCTCTGTAGAAAAGAGATACGCCTATTTGAACCAGCCAGCAGGCACCAGCATCAGGGGTCAGTTTAGCCTCCTGATATCGCAGATAAGGCACAAGTGCAAAAAACAAAACTGACCTTACAACAGTGAGTTTGGAATGTGGATGGGTGGGGTTACTCTCCATTCAACTTTGTTTCAGATTACTGACCCCAAAGTAATGTATCTGAATAGCAACAGGGAATAGTCCTGGCTGACGGAATAGTCCTGGCTGACAGCACAGCCCAGAGGAAAGACATGGACCTAGTTCAGAGTAACCGCATTTGACCTCTCACCCTTGTGGCACAAGCCTGCGAGGCAGCACACAACTTTCACAGTGGTCTAACCTTGCTCTGAGGGGTCTTTCTCTGCAACACTAATATATCCGGCAGCATATATTGGGGTTGAAAAAATGTCAACCTCATGCAAAGCTGCCATGAGCTGTTGGGTTTTAGCTGCTGGTGCTCTGTGTGAATGGCTCTGCTTGTTCGCTTTAAAATGGACGAGATGCTTTCATTGTTAGTTCCGGAGAAAGAGAATAGCACCACCTAGTGGCTGTCATAGAAGATGGAAGAAGAGTGAGAAACCGGGCTGGATAAAGAAAAACGATTTAATGTTTTTGCTTGGAATATTGCTGTAACAGTTATTGATCATATACATGTTAACTAAATAATAATCTCTTGTCCATTCAGCTGATCCATAGTAGTTTTTCTTCACATAAAGATTGCTTGTCATTTGTCATTCTAATTCTAAACAACTAGAACTTGGTGATTTAGGCGAGAGCCTCAATCTGTTGCAGATATAATGTAATATTGTCATTCTTATTGATTATTTATCAAATCATGTATTTTCTGAAGCACTGATTTCCACTTCTTGTTTTTTATTTGCTGTTTAGCTTACATGAAGAGGCGGCTAAGCTCCCTGAGTGATAGCCATCCTGTGGACGTGGGTTTAGTGGGGCAAGATTACATGCAGGGCTCCCAGAGCCCGGTTCATCAGCATCTGAAGAAAGCCAGGGTGGTGCTGGGCCCCGAGGAGAAGGAGGCCCTAAAAAGGGCCTACCAGCAGAAGCCCTATCCCTCCCCAAAAACCATTGAGGAGCTGGCCTCCCAGCTCAACCTGAAGACCAGTACTGTCATCAACTGGTTCCATAACTACAGGTGACCTATTGCATATCCTTACATAAACCTATGTGTGTATGTGAATGATGGATCCATATTGTATTGTTAAATAAGTGGACATTGTCTAAGGAAGGGCTTTTGTGCCTGCCCTGTTTTAATAAACATCACATCAGTGCACTCATGCAGTATTTTAAGATTAGTTAAATGTAAAATGTGTTGCGTCTGACAGATTTAATTTCAGGATTTGGGTAGTGTGACTGACTTCTGTGTCTCTCTTTAGGTCACGCATCCGGCGAGAGCTCTTCATAGAGGAGATCCAGGCCGCTGGAGGGTTAGCAGGGCATGGCAGTGAGGGGGGCTCCCCGTCCCTCCGAGGGTCCAAATCAGGAGAGGGGGACAGCTGTGATGGGACAGAATCTGAAGGCACAGTGGAGACACGCCAGGGACTGGGTATGGGCCTGGAGGATCACAGAGGAGCATGCAAAGACGACATGGAGGTGGAGTCTGAGGCAGGGGGATCTAATAACTCCCCTGACCAGCTAGACTGCACCGGACCAGGCTCCAGCTGTGGTCTGGGGCTCTTCAGCCTCACAGAGGCATCCTCCAGTGGCTCTGCCTCTAGTACTAACATCCCAGCCTCTGGCCCTGCCAGAAACCCCAGGGACAACAATCTGCGCAAGAAGAAAGCTGCCAATCTCAATAACATCATCCACAGGCTGGAGAAGGCTGCTAGCAAAGAGGATCCCTCAGAGTGGGAGTTCTAGCTACTCCTGAGCATCCTGCACCCCTCTTGTCTCATAACCTCACGACCTCTAACCTTGGACCCCTCCTGCTCTGTTCCAGTTGGAGAGTGGACAAAGCCAAAGTCAAGCTCAGCAGCCATTTTTATTACAGAAAAGCTTTCCGAAAAGAGGAAAGAAACAAAGAGCGGTTGGCAAAACCCTTAAAAAGAAGATTTACTGAATACCTAGAAGAACAAAATAAGAGGACCTATGCGTCTCTCCGTTTTTTTTTAAACTGAGTTTTGTTTTTGTACTGAGAAAAGCACTTAGCCGTCCTGCTGGCCTCCGGCCCTGCTGTACCTTCCCCTATCACCAGCCACTGGTGCACCAGACTGGTTCCTCCTGAGCGTGGGTCTGACCCACAGCTGAGGATGAAACCTGGACTCAGAAACACAGGCAAGGCCTGACACAGCAGCTGTCTCAGTGATAGACACTGTTAGATGATAGATAGAGACAGGAACTCTCTTACAAGAACTCTCACTTTCTTAAAGGAGATTTTTTCCGCTCTTCTTCTCACCTCCCAAGTGTCCACAAACCTCCCCTCACTCAGTGAGACGCCTCATTTTTCACACTGTAGAGTGACTGTTACAAACCCTTTGCCTTTTTCACTCACTGCGTGTGTGTGTGTGTGCGTTTTTGTATGTTAGGGGTTGCGTCAGTGTGCACCTGTTTGTTTGTTTGTGTGTGTAAACACACCCAAAAATGGTGTGTGTGTGTTCTCTTCTCAATGGCAGCATGTTTTCTTTTTCATCTCACTCCTACACTCTTAAGAGGGTAGTGGAAGGCCTGCCGGCTGAGCTGCCATGGTTACTGATGTAAGAGAGATGAACTTTGACCTGTTGTGTCCCATATCCTATCCTGCTGACAGCCATGTGATGGCCAGAAGGATCTCTAATTCCTCACAAACACACGCACTCATCTGAAGAGGAAGGATGGAAAGAACCCTCTTTTGCCTCCTTAAACCCGTCTTTAAAGGATGATCTCTTTTTTTTGATATTGCAATTTGGTTGCCAATAAGAGATTGCACAGTCTATCGACTCTAAAGAGTACAAAATAGGGAATTTTAGGAAACATTTTAATTAGTACAAAATAAGAACAGAAAATAAGAGAATAACAAGTTACTGTCTTAAAAAAAAAAAAAAAAAACCTGATTAGAATGGAATAATGTTGCGTTTTTAAAATACGATACAATAAATTCACGTAGTACTGTAGCTTTCTGACACATTGATACTTCACGTGTCTCTTGTTGTTTGAGGTCGTGCACGTCACAGCTTTTGCCCAGCACTGGACCTGCTGGGTGTGTGTGTGTGTCTGCACCACCAACACATTTTCTCTGTTCACAAACACATCTTTTTATAGGCCAAATCAGGAAGAGTGTGTGTGTGTGTGTGTATGTGTGTGTGTGTGTCTGTGTGAGCGTGTGTCTGTGTGCATTTGTATTTGCTTGCATGTAAGTCAGGGTCGAGGTCAATTCACTCAGAAGTAAAAAATTAAGAAGAAGTTTATCAATAATGACATTTTTGACTGAAATAATGGGTTTTATGTAGAATACTTGATTAATCTGTACTTTCTGGTGTCTGCCGTCAAAGTGAATTCACCCCCACCCTGGTGTGAGTAGTTTCCACTCTCCTCCAGTCTATCCTGTATCCAGGGATGTTTTGCATTGAATTCTACTGTATACACTACAAATTATAAGGCATATCACCTCCTCCCTGTCCCACACAAGCCCTCAGTGCCTGTCAGCCTACTGCCTCCCCTTGTGTGTGTGTGTGTGTGTGTGTGTGTGTGTGTGTGCGCGCGTGTGTATGCGTGGGTGCATGTACACACATGCCTGTCAATACATGCGTGTGCACAAATGTGTGCGATTGAGGAGTGTTCAGTGTTTCCAATGAGTGGGGTCATATTTCTTATCTACTTGCACACACTACTAGTGCACAACTGACACCCTTCTTTAAGCTGTTTGATGCGTTACCATTACATTAATCTTCTCACAAAGTAGTGTAATACTATGATTTACTGTAGCTTGGTTTTATTGCTATTTTGCATTTATAGTTTGGTTTTTATTCTGCTTATTTATAGGTGCTGTATTTTTTTCATTTAATGTCTTATCATTTGAGTTGTCTATTTTTTAAGGGATTATACTGTTCCTGAGGGCAAGTAACATTTTTATTAGAAGTATAGACTGCCGGCAGTATTGGTTAATATTTACAAAGATGTACTAGTTCTCGTTTGTTTGTATGTTCATGAATCCTAAAGTTTAGTGTCATTTCAATAGCTTTGGAAAAAATGTGTTTGCTACAGTCCATGCTCCCGTAAGCATTAAGCTTTTACCACAACAGTTATGCTCTTACATTGCTAGCTAGAGAATCAAAGGACATATCAAGATCGGTGAATATATGATAGCATATCTCTTTTCCTGTTTTCTATCCTTCTACAATGTTCATTTTTGTTCGGCTGTTTCTTGGGCAAGCCCGGCACCAACGTCCGGCAGGGCATGCCGCTTTCTTTAGATAGAGGTCGCCCACTCTGTAATCACGTTACCATAATTATGCAGGTCCCATTGTTTAGACTTTGTCAAGTAGGTCAAGTGAAAGTACCTAAACTTGAAAACAGAAGTAACTTGAAAGAGGTCATATCTGCCAAATTGAGATTAGAGAAGTATACCAGCTAGCAGGGGTGCTACGTCAGATTGAACAGATAGCCAGCCTATGATTATGCAGAATATATATTGCAGTCTGTAACAAAGCACTTATTAGGATCTTTCTGAAGACTTACTTGGGACAGGGTCTGTAAACACTACGACAGAGTACGAGCCCGGGATCCTGGGAAAATGTTTGCCTTTTTCAAAAAGTGGTTGTGAACCAAGCACAGACTCTTCTCCGCATCCGAACACTAAAATTAAAACATAAGATTGCTGTATCCATGTTTTCTAAATGATAAGCTGTAGTCTATTACAGCAGCCCCTATTTCAAACTCCCGATAACTGCGTGACAGAAAGGGCCTTTGTCCTGTACAGTTGTAGATATTATGAGTAAACTCCTGTTATGGTTTCTATCCAAAATGTCCTCAGTCCATCCTTAAGCGTCCCCTTTCCCTAAATGTACACCCAGATGTATTGGCAGCCTATCAAAAGACACTGATAACCTCATTGCACTCTATTAGGATGCATTAGGTAAAATTGGATTTTCCAGTGTATCTAATAATTGTAAATTCCGCAAACATTGGCGCTTCCTGTGGACGACTGATGTGAAACATCTGTCTTCTGCAGAATACTGAAGGCTTCTTGCCTTCTGTTGGACTGCTCGGATTGGACAACCACAGTATGTTTAATTGTGATGAATAGCTACTGTAAAGTTTATAAGCACTTAACTCATTTGCCATTTTATAGCCAGATCCATCAACTCACCCAATCCATGTGAGATCATCAGATTTGTGCCTTTAACTGCCAAGCAGGGCACCAAACTAGTGATGTCATTAGACGTAGATGATTTCACCTGATTTGTTCATAATATATCCCACATCTTGACCCAAATTAATTTCCCATGTACTTCATAAATATTGGTACTTTTGAAGTTGACTTGTCTCAGCTCTCTGGAGAGGGTTGTATATAATTCCTGGAGTGTAGTGAAAGAGTAAAAGGAGAACAGCGAGCTTGTGTATTCTTATGACCGACTTGCAGACATGTTTCCGTCCGGGTCTTATTTCAGACAGTTGTTTTCCCACAATGCATTTCTTACGTTGTACATAACCTGATCTAGCAGCGAAAGGCCAGAGCATTGAATGAAGGAGGAAGCATGCAGAAAACAGCATACACTGTAATAACACTGAATTTATTCATAGGGCATTTTGTATTTTTCTGTTTGTGTCAGGTTTGCTGTGACATTAATAGTGGCACTACAGGTATTGATTATGACGTGTGCCAATTCAAATGGTTATTTGGAAAAGAGACGTGTAAATACAGTCGATCAAGTAGCTATTGATTCACTTTTGTCACAGTATGCTTTTGTTTGAAGGCAGGAGGAGAGAAGGGACGATTCAGGACTTTTCCATGATCCACAGATATTTTTCTACAAATTTAAATCAGATGATTCTATACACTGTTGAATAACATTGTAAAGGTGTAACAGATGCTGTATGTCATATCATGTTTTCTGAAGTCGTAAAGCTTTACTGTATGATCTGTTGAAGTAGTGGTTATTCATTTTGACATATTAGTTGTAATGGAAGCCCAAACAGCAGCACTGGTCACCATATTCAGGAAAAAAAAAGAAAGAAAGAAAAACCTCAGATGTTTTTTGTAATACTTTTAGAATATATCTTATGAAGTGGGTTTTGTAAGGAAACACTTTCGGAATCAGTGGTGCTGTATGCATAGCACACTCAGTAATACATACACACATAATACAGCACAATACACTCATCCTTTAACCCCCCCCCCCCCCCCCCCCCCCACTTTACGTACGTGCTTTTTTATGTTATTTTTCGCTCACCTCTCACATTGGCTAATTTTTAAGTCTTAAACCATTTCCTCTTATCTCATCAGTTATTTCATGCTCACCTGTACAGTTGTTATCACCCAGAGACCGACTCCGGAGTGCTAAACATTTCAGCGACTGCTTGCAAGACTTAAAAGAGGAAGCATAAAGCCAAATAGTGAAGTTAGTTATCCACCACTGTTGAAAGGTTGCTGACAGTTTTCTGAATGTTGCTACCTTGTGTCGTGGCTTCAGTTCACCCATAGCTAAACCACAGTGTAGTCTGACAACCAAACGACCTGGGGAGATCTTCTGCCCCCTCCTTTTGGAAAGCTTTAAGATGCTTGTTGAGGCTTTAGCAATTCAGAGTGTTTTTAGATGATTTTTCCAACCTTTGTCATCAACAATGTGGAAGTAATAATTCTCATAACTTCTCCCACTGCTTATTTTGTGAGTGTGTGTGTGTGTGCGCGTACATGTGTGTTGTAGTACAAAAGGCTGCATGACTGTAAAGGGATGGTTAAGATGTTCTTTGAAAGATGTTTCCCTAGCACCTCTGTCACTCCTGAGATGCTTTTTTCTCCTTGTTGGGGTCTCCTTCCCTTTTGTTTTTCCTCATGTATCATTGTTTCTTTATCTTTCTATTTACTAAACGTATCATGTTGTTTGTTCTCAGCACTGTAAAACAGTCCCTTCTACAACATTGAAAAGCAATATCACTGTATGAAACGTTCACAATGTATTTGTTATGATTGACATTTGATTCATCATCATCATTATTATTCACATGCACCCTAGGTGTGATAATTGAAGTAAATCTCTTTTATACAAATACTAAAAGTGTACTGTGGTAGTTTTTTTTTCTTTGCGAAATGTCTTGTTGGAAATGTGTTAGTTGAACCTGTGCATGGTTAATAAGTATTCTCAGAGAAAGAGATCACTTAGAAAGTCAGGGAAGAAAGTAGGTGTAGCGGGTTTCAGTCATGTTGGGGATGTTGGACAGCTTCTGCCATTTACAGCCACCACAGGTGAGTTACTTTGGGAACTAATACAATCTAAAACAAATGGGAATAAAACCATATTCAAATGATATTTATCTCTCCTCTACCCCCTCACAGGCCGGTATGCAGAGCTGCAGGTGGAGTTTTCAGCTGCGGTTTGCACCAGTGCGGAGCAGAAGGAGCTGATCCTGAAGCTGGAGCACGACCTGAGCACCATCCAGGACATGTCCACCCTGCAGCGGCCCGACGCCGACGGCTCCGAGGTCAGCAACATGGAGAACATCCCGGACCCCGTCAAAGAGGCCTCTGCAATGTTTAGTGGTATGTCCCCGGGTTAAAAAAAGCTGTTTAAAGGACTGTACAAAAATGATTGGGTCCCAATTGATTTGAACCCTCCCTGTGGCTTAATACCACAATGTGATGGAGCAGTTTGCTATTGACACAGTTAAGTGTATACGGTGGTGGCGAAGTCGATAGGGACTTGGCTTGGTAACTGGAAGGTCACCAGTTCAAGTCCCGGCAAGACCAAGTGCTACCGAACGGTGTCTCTGAGCAAGGCACCGTTCCCTACACTGCTCCCCGGGCGCCGTTCAAAATGGCAGCACACTGCTAGGATGGGTCAAATGCAGAGAAACAATTTCCCCACGAGGGATTAATAAAAGTCCATCTTATCTTATACATCATTTTAATCGACATTCCACTTTATTTAAATGCAAACCTTTCATTTAAAACTTAAAGGTTCAGATAGAAAAGTAATCTTTCCCCAAGAAGCCAATATACTGTATCCATGAAGCAAATTCATAAGAAAGGTAATGTAAAATGACCTAAGCTAAAACATTTTTACTTGAGTTCTATTGTGTCTAAAGGAGTCTTTACATCAACTTTGTAGTAACTATTGACACACTTGATCCGGAGAATTATTATATTATCTAATCCCTAAAACCATTCCACACTTTCCCCACAAATGTAGACTACTCTATACAATTCTAAATGATTACTTAATAACACAATATTAAGGTTATCGCTGGTAGTTATCATTTATTGAGTCATAATCTGCTCCATAAGGACAGTGTGGATGGGGTTTGATGAATTAAAGGTCCCCAGATCACTTCCTCATTGGAAATGCTTTTTTCTTAAAGAGAGAAACAGGAACACTTCTCTAACTGTAATGTTTAACCTGCTGAGCCCCTGCTGAAGGTTTGTCAGAGTTAATACTAAAGACTAGCCTGACCAGAGCGATTTAATAGTTACATTTTCTAGATATAGTTGATCATATAACATGCCCTTATATGCATGTTAATAAAGGAAGTGACTTATGGCAATCGGGTAGGGATTAGAAATTTCCCCTTCCAGCTTTTGTAAAGTATGCATTTATTATCTTTGTTATTATTATATAAGAAGTGTATTTTTCCTCCAGGTACGGGCCCCCACCCAGAGCTGCCTCAGGGCCAGATGGACTCTCTGCTCTCCATCATCTCCAGCCAAAGGGAGAGGTTTCGCTCCCGCAATCAGGAGCTTGAAGCTGTGAGTCATGATCACACACACGCACACACATACACACACACACACACACTTCCTGTATTCCTGTGTTTTTTTCTGGGAAAGACTAATTTCTCATCTATTTGTTTTGTCCCCTGCAGGAGAGTCGCTCCGTGCAGCAGACCATGCAGGCGCTGCAGAGCGAGCTGGACAGCCTGAGAGCAGATAACATCAAACTCTACGAGAAAATCAAGTTCCTGCAGAGCTACCCTGGCAGAGTGCGTCTGTGTCTGTGTGTGTCTGCATGTGTGTGAATGAATGATTGCACTCTACATGGGTGATGTTTTGTTGATTTGTCTAAAATATTTAGCAGGAATATTAAAGTCAGTGTGTGTGTGTGTTCTCTGCGCTGCAGGCTGGAGGTAGTGACGACACCGTGATGCGCTACTCCTCCCAGTACGAGGAGAGACTGGATCCGTTTGCTTCTTTCAGCAAGAAGGTACAAGACACACACCTTTTTAATATTTACACAAAAACACTCAGTCTGAAACCAACTGCCATATGTTGCATCATTTTGTTTTTTACTGTCATAGCTTCTTTCTCTGATATCTGACCAAAATATTTAAGGCCTGATGAAAGTTGTTATTTGCTGATTCTGTGGTTCAACATTCATCAAAACAATCAAAAGGATTTTTGAGAATAAGAGCCAAGAGCGAAACACAACATGTTGTGACCTGAGTAAGGGGATGATTCAAAAAGCTCTTGATTGATTCTTCAAACCAGGAAATTAGATACCGTTTTGCACTTCCTGTTGTTGTCTTGTAGAAAATGTATTGACATAAGGTCTGTGGTTAACACAAGCTTAAGAGATGTTCACCTTTTGTTCTACTACATATTCAGTAAATACCACTAAGATTATTTTAAAGAGGTTTTATTTTTTTACTTTTAGCCAATTGCATTTATGCTTAAAAATCTATAAAAGTTGTATTCAGTTCAGGTTATCTTTAATGTTGAGCTCGACTCTTCTGGGTTTCAGGAGCGTCAGCGCAGATACCTGAGCCTCAGCCCCTGGGATAAAGCAACTCTGAGCCTTGTAAGCCTCAAGCACACGCACACACACACACACACACACACACACACACACACACACACACACACACACACACACACACACACACTTGATGTGTTTGGTGCAGTCTCTTCACTAATCCTCTTGTTTTTGTCTCTCAGGGTCGTGTGATTCTCTCCAACAAGATGGCCAGGACCATTGCTTTCTTCTACACCTTGTTCATGCATTGTCTGGTCTTCCTGGTGGGTCTCCTTTCAACGCAGAGGAGCTCCTGAACCTTAATGAAACAGATCCTTTTTTTTATATTCAACATTTCTTTAAAAGTTAAAACAAGGAGACCCAAACAGACAAGGACACATTCACTTAAAGGATATCTATCAGAAATAGACTCCTATATATATATACACATGTAAAAACCAAAAAGGGAGAAAGGTAGGTTACAGACAGCCTATTTAGGGTTAACAGCAGTTCATTAGTCGTAATGTATTACTTAATTGATCTCTAAACAGATTGCCAAGCAGGAAATGTTTAGCTTTATTATGGCATATATCAATCCAGTTTTTCAATAGAGAGTATGACAGCCTCTATTAGAGAACCGCAGTGACGCGTCCTAAAACCCGGAATTAAACTCCTTCCGGTTCCTTCGACAAAAACGCAATGCAATTTCTCCATAGGATTTTGGAAAATAGCTCGAAATAAGGTCTGTGGTTGACACACATTTAAGAGACGGATCACGTTTTGTTCAGCCGGATAATTTCCACATGTCTATCCTACTTTTATAATTTTATAATCATAAATCTAGTCGCCAGAAGCAAAATGCTAACGTTATGCTATAAAGGAACTACAGCAGGGTCGCTGCTTCAACGTCACGCCGACTTGAGATCCATATTCAAACATACAGATTCAAAATGGTACAAGTTGAAGCGTTTGTTTGAACAGTTTGCAGGAGGCAGGTACTTGCTTTCAAGCAGAACAGGGCAAACTAATTTAGCGGGAGTGTTTCCGTGTTCGGTGTAATGACGTAAAACGGCCTCGACAACTGCTGTAGTCCTATTCAGCCACTCGTTAACAACTATCGTTTTTCAGACAAGTACATTCTTTAAAAATCACCAGTGGGGTCACTGCTGGTGTATTTAATGTCGTAGAACAAAACGTGATCTGTCTCTTCAATTTGTGTCAAACAGACCTTATTTCCAGCTATTTTCCAAAATCCTATGGAGAAATTGCATTGCTTTTTGTCGAAGGAACCGGAAGTGGTAAAAATGCTAACTTACTTCCGGGTTTTAGGACGCGTCACTGCGGTTCTCAGAGCCAAGGTTGCAGCCCATTTGTAATATGTGTGTGTGCTGTTCCTCGTACATCAGGGAAACATCCTTACTGGTATTTATTTATTTTGTAGGTCCTGTACAAGACAGCCTGGAGCGAGAGTATCGGCAGAGACTGCTCCGCTTTCTGTGCTAAGAAGTGAGTGTGTTCACCTCAGGGTTTTAACATCTCTAACATCTCAACACGTATGATTTGATCATAGTAACAAATACTTGAAGTAATCTTTCCCATTTTTCTTTTATTCCTCTCCCAGGTACTCTGACCACCTCCACCAATTCCACGAGAACGACCAAAACCTTTGAGCTGGTTCCACATTCAGCAGCATGCATGTCCTGCTCAGAAGAGGTCCCTCTTTGAGCTCCTCATGAAGACGGGGCTTCACTTTTCTTCTTGCAATAGCTTTTAATATCCACTAGGGGGCGGTTTAAGGCTGTAAATCCGACGGTTGATTCAAAAACAGATTCGTGTTTTTGTTTCTCTAAATATAATCATAAGGATAATATATATAAGTCTAAAACTATAATCCTTGGTTTCCTCTTATACTCTTAACATAATAAGGAAAGCAAATAATTGATCATGTGATATCATCTGTGCCGTTGAAGCACACATGAAATGAAGTTAATATTGTGTGTATCTTCCCGTATAAGGGACCAGAGTACAAGGATTATTTTGTTTTGTGATTTATCCTGGGTTTAGCTGGAATTTAGAATAATTAGAGAAATGTAATCATTAGAAATAAAGTTAATATAAGATTAAAGGTAATATGGTTGAGGTTATAATTAGATTGGGGAGTGTTATGTATAAGTATAAAGGGCATTAATGAGGAGGTGGTCGTTTTAGGAGGTTATGGCGATGGAACAATATATACAGTAGTTATTCCTAGGGCTCAATCTTCTGAGATTTGTCCTACTTGAGTTTGACTAATATCATTGATTCATTCGTAAAATTAGTTTTTAATGTTGAAA